ATTTAAATACTCTGGTTGGATAAAATCGTCAAAACGCGACGATTGACGGACTGTCCGCTCACCGCGACGAAGTGTTCAAAGAAACCAAGGCTTTAGCAGTATTTTAAATGTTGTGACCGTTTCCGTCGATTCAATATCATTTGGCAACTTATTGTACATTTTAATCCCATTATAAATGAAAGAGCCCCTTACCAGTTCAGATTTGGGTATGGGCAACCGCAGGTTGTCAACTTGTCGCGTTAGCCGAGCGTTAGTATTGGCATAGTTCGATTTATTTTTATGTATAATACAAGTGGTTTCAAGAATGAACAACGATGTTAATGTTAAAATTTCATGTCTAATAAAATGTGGCTGACATGACTCAAACTTGTTCATTCCACATAAAAATCGTATTGCTCTCTTTTGCAGACAAAAAACAGTATTGAATAATTCGCGGCTGCAACCTCCCCAAAATGCAATTCCATATCTCAAATGGGACTCAACTAGGGCGTAATACACACTTTTTGCTGCCTTAAAACCTAGTTCTTTTGCCACAGTTCTAACTGCAAAACATCCAGAAGAAAGTTTTCTGTTTAGCAATTCTATATGGTTTCTAAATTTCAAATTATTATCTAAATTAATTCCCAGAAATTTTATTGTGTCAGTACATTCAATAATATGACTTCCCAACTGAATATTTGGTAGGGAACATTTAAGGGTTAGCATTTTAGTTTTTCCCATATTAAGACGCAAATAGTTGGCATCGCACCATGCTTTGATTTTCTTAATGTCACAGGATATGGTGTTGTATAGGACAGAAGTGTCATTGCTGTGCCATAAAATCGTAGTATCATCTGCAAATAGAGTGAAAGTACCTGCAATTTCAAGTTGAGCTAAGTCATTCACATAAAGGAGAAATAAAATGGGACCTAACACAGAACCCTGAGGGACACCCCAACTAATATCTAAAACTTGAGAATCCTGAGACGCTCTTACCATTTGCTTACGTTCTGAAAGATAAGATTTTACCCAACTCAGCGCTCCGTTTTTGATCCCGTAAACTCGAAGTTTATCCAACAGTACTGTATGATTGACGCAATCGAACGCCTTAGTTAAATCACAGAATATCGCCGCTACAGAATCGTCAACATTAATTCTAGAATAAGCATGTTCAAGATAAGAAAATATCGCATCAGAAGTACTGTTGTTCCTTTGAAGACCAAACTGTTGTGTTTCCAGCAATTTGTGAGTTTCTAGATAATGAATCAAACGTTTTTTTACAACTTTTTCAATAATTTTGGCCACTGTAGGAATGAGAGATATAGGCATGAAGTTCGAAGGATCGTAGTTACTGCCGCCTTTATGTATGGGAACAATAACACTGGTCTTAAGAAATGACTGAAAATTTGATCCGACGAAACTTTGGTTGATCAGACTAGCAAGGACTAACATTGCTGATTCAGGGAGGTTTAGAATAACTCTAATAGAAATATCATCATAACCAGCAGCATTTTTGTTTTTAATATCTGAACATATTTCCATTATTTCAAAACATGTTGTAAAACTTAGAGTAAAGTTGGAGTTAACATGGGTAGTTTTTAAATAATCTAAAGGATCAACTGACGATCTGAAATTATTAGTCAGATTTTCAGCAATTGAGCAATAATACTCATTAAATGTTTCTGAATCGATGTAGTTCTTAACGGATTTGGAATTTTGTTTATTTTTCAATTCATTAATAATATTCCAAGTTTCTTTAACTTTATTATTAGATTTTTCAATTCTAGAATAATAGTATATGTCCTTCGCTTTTTTAATAACAGCCCTGCCCTATATATTTTCCTGTAATGGAGGTAATAGATTAAAAAGAATTCATCTTGGAAAAGCATTTTGGAAAAACCTCGTGGTATATTTCGCAGGCCTGTAGGTACTAGTTATCTGCCGCAAAACTGTTTATATTATATGGATATTTTAAATAATATACTGTATATGCAATAAAAATTTCGCGCGGTTCTCTATATGATTCAAAATATCAGATTTCGCACCAATTCTGTTATACGAGGGTCAAAACGTAGAACCTTGCAAGTAACAATTTAGAAATTATTCAGGAGAGTAAAAAAACTATATTATTTTTGTTCTAAAATATAAGTAATGATTTTTTTTATAAATATATTTACTATAAACGAACATAATGAGATAAGTTTAATCATAGTGATAACCGACATTGGCTTTTGGCACTGCCTCTTGTAGACTCGGTATAAATCCGACCATGACTGAAAAAATTGCTCCAAGTATGTTCTATTATGTGAAGGAAGCTTGTTTAAATTTTGAAGAAACGCTGTGAGAAACCATCATTTTCAAAAATATCTTGTCGTTTCTCTCTCCTGCTTATTTCGGTTTGGTCGCTATTTGTCATGCCATTTTCAGACTTCATTGTCCAGGACCGTACGGACCATTCTCCGAAGCTAAGAGAATTTGGGTACATTTTCATACAAACAGTCATGGATTTATTTAGTCGCGTCAAAGTAGGACTAAAAACGCAGAAACTTCGAAATTTGGTCGGAAAGGTCCGATTGGGCTATTTTTTTCTGCAAAATGTTCATTGAGACATGAGATTCAAAGTTCACCAAAATCTAGATGCCAGCCACTCGGCCTCCCTCCCGCCCCAAATTCACCCCAATTGGGGGGAATTCTCGACTTTTTTCAACAAGCCACATACTTTCTAAAACTGTAGTCCCAAGCGGGGAAAATGTTCCACTCGGGGGGGTTTGAAGTGCCCTGAATCCATTATTTGGGTTAGGTCGCCTTTGCGACCTTCCCAGGGGTGTGGGACAGGGCGTCCAAAATATGAGATGTCCGTGGAAATGTGTTTGGGCTGCAAAGTTGCGTCAGGGGGGTTTATAAGGGCGGAGATCTCAATTTCATCGAGAATTAAGCCTTTTCAAGCTATTAAAGCCGTATACACAGGGACTCATGGGGTCTCAAATTTCATGATTACGCGGGATTGAATTTCAGGACACAGAATTGGTACGCGATAGTGTTATAAAACTACAAACTCTATATTGGGCAGCCTGTCATCCTGTGACCCAACCAGGGATGTCCGAAAGGGGTACCGGGGCCCAAAATATGAGATTTGATTTGATATCAACATGTAAAATTGATATAATTCCGCCAGCGAGTATACTCCTTGGTCTTTTTGAGTCTCTGACGAACCCAGGTATGAGCGATAGGGGTTTTAAGGGGCCCCAAATTTAAATTCTCGTAAAATTCCATTTTCTCATACAAAGTTGGTATGATGAGGGTTTGTAAGAGTGTAATTTTATGTTGCCCTGGCTTGCAAGCAAGCGGCTCCAGAGCTCCACGAACGAAGGTGCTGAGGGGGTGAAACTATCAAGTTTCCCCTGGGACTTGATTTGATTCGATTTCATTATATAAAATTCATATAATTGCGCTGACCAGGCAGCTAACCAATGGTTTATTCGAGTGGCATTTAGTCTAAGCCAATACAACGACATGACCAGATCAACAAGGACATTATCTCGATGTTTAGGGTTGTGGCACTTGGCCATCACATCACACGAAATCTTAAAGGTTCTTAAGAGTTATACACTTTTGAACCTCCCGGAAAAGGGTTTGCTGGGGATCCAAGTCTACAATTAATCTTATATTTTGTGAAGATAGTAACTGGTATACTCTAAAGATAAAATTAGAACAAGACTAAGAAAAAATAAAGATGTGGTTTGGTCATAGGCTCTTGTCATTAAACTTTAAAAAAACAAATTACATACACCCTTAAAAACCCTCATTATGCCGTCATCAACTTTATATGAGAAAATTGAATTTTACGAGAATTTAAATTTGGGCCCCCCTATCAGCCATATCTAGGTTCGTCAGAGACTCAGAAAGAAGTATACTCGGTGGAGAAATTATATCAATTTTACATTTTGATATCAAATAAAATCAAATCTCATATTTTGGGCCCAGCACCCTGTTCGGACACCCCTGGTTAGGTCACAGGATGACAGGCTGTCCAAATTTAGATTTGTTTGTTTTATAACACTAGCGCGTACCAATTCTGTGTCCTGAAATTCAATCCCGCGTGATCATGATATTTGAGACCCCATGGGCCCCTTTTTATACGACCCTGAGGGCTTGAAAAGGCTTAATTCTCGATGATATTGAGATCTCCGCCCTTTTAAACTCCCCTAGCGCAATTTGGGAGCCCAAATACATTTCCACGGACATCTAGTATATTGGGCCCCCAGTGGCCCTGTCACCCACCCCTGGGAAGGTCGCAAAGGCGACCTGACCCAAATAATGGATTCAGAGTACTTTAAAACCCCTGAGTGGAACATTTACCCTGCTTGTGACTGCAGTTTTATGAAGTATGCGCCTTTTGTTGAAAAAAGCCGAGAATTCCCCCCAATTGGGGTGAATTTGGGGGGGAGGGAGGCCAAGCGGCATCTAGATTTTAGTGAACTTTGAATCTCATGTCTCAATGAACATTTTGCAAAAAAATTACCCCGATTGGACCTTTCCGACCAAAGTTCGAAGTGAAAACCTACTTTGACGTGACTAATTACTAATAATAAAAGAATAATTTCGTTTTTGGGATCTATGAGAGGTTTCAATTTTTATCACATACTTTGATGGTATTTCCAACAAAAACTTTAGCTGCTCCCAGAACTTTTTGAATAGCTTTTCTCGATCCTCGTTTGAAATTAGAAAACATTTTCTTGTAGCAGCATTTACCTTCTCTTTATTTGAACATTTATACTTTTCTTTTATTTTTCTTTCATTATGTTGGAGACCATTTTTCAAAATATTGCAGGCCCTTAAGTTTATCGATTTAAATACTAACTTGTGTTTACAATTTTTTTTATATATCATAAATAAACAACTAAATTAGTTTATTATTTATTAAAATTAGCAATTTCGTAATATTTTATGATAAACCACAATAAAATTCCTTACCAGACAACCTCTCGAGGTCACGTTCCACGATTTTGGTTTATTTTTAAACATTTTTGATAAACTAAATATTTTGTCTACAAAAATAACAATCAACAATGATTAAAATAAAAACAATTTAATAAAAAAAACCTAATACTTTTATTGAAATATTATTAAACAAGTAATAATAAAAAATCTCCTTATGTATTCTACCTACAATCAATCATTTTGATCTAGTTTGTGTAATCTTTTCCTCTGTACATCAAAAACTTCCTCGCCCACAAGTTATTCGAAAATTCGAAATAATATAAACCTAAAACTACCAAAATCCCGACACTTTCATCCTTATACAACACAAATATCATTCAATAATATGGACAGAAAATAGAATCTCTAAACAAGCACATAAATATGTACTTGTTTAGAGATTCGAAAGTAAACTTAAAACTTTCATTTTTGTGATATATTTTTTTATTGTTGTTGCTGCCCCTGAGGCGCCTGGTAATGTTGTGGCGCCAACTTCGTAGTAAAGTTGACTATGAACATAAGGAATTGTTTGACAAACGAAGGGAGGCTGGGCTTCGATGCTGTTCTTTCGAAAAGTACCCTCAACTCCCGGAACATGCTCCTCGTGTACGGGTTCCTTCTGGACGCGTACCTTTGAGACAAGAATTGATAATAGATGAATGGTGTTAGAAGACTCGCTCTACCCCTGGAAATGAAAACGGAAAGCGGGTCAGTGAAAGTGCGATATAACAATAAAAATTAATAAAATAAATTTACATAATGGGTAAATAATTATAATTATGTAAATAGGTTGTTATAAGTAATCATCTAATTTATGCATGGTATAAAGATTAATTTTTGGAAATTATGAATAAAGCATTCGGTAAAAAGAAATTAGATTTTAATAAAAATTATAAAAAAATATGTATTTATTGTTTAACAGTTTTAATTCATAAATTTGTTTACTCTTAAAAGGCACATATAAAACATAATATTTGAGTTTCCCCAAGTTCTATGCAATTTTTGGTTAACCCTCATTACTGCTTTCTTTACTATACAGGGTGTTTCCGAACTTGGCGTCCAAATTTGTAGGGGTGGTAGTTCGCATAATTTGAGACCGATTCGCAGATTTCATTTTTCCAAAATATTTAAAATGAAAATAATTAAAAATTATAAACAGGTACGGTCCTGCACAGCAATGGGTCGCCTTGACTCGCGCGCGCTACGTTTAGAATCGATATCGCATCTGTTTTTGAGGACTATTGCGCTACGTGCTCAGGGTAGGACCTGCTCTTTGATTTTTTTTATAATGGCTCTATTTTGTTTATTATAATTTTTTTAGAAAAATGAATCTGCCAATCGCTCTCAAATTATGCGAACTACCGCCCCTACAAATTTGGACGCCAAGTTCGGAAACACCCTGTATAATACCGTCCATTTAATATAATGATATAAAGATCCCCAGCAAACATTTTGGTGTAATTTGACGTCGATACTACCTAAATTATATATAATAAATTTGGTCGCAAAATTAGATTTAACCATAATTAAGTAAAATTTACGTTGGCTCGACGTGGATTCGACATAAGTGGAGAATAAGACGACGTAGAAATTTGGTTTTATTTACCAAAATAAGTAGAATTACATCTAAATCCACATTGTAGTAGCCCAGTACGTTTGGTTAATAATACCTCTCTAGGGAAATTTGACGTCAGTATAACGTTAATTCGACGTTGATTTAACTAAGTTTAGGTAGACACTACCAAAATATTTGCAGATGACGTATGCCTCCAAGTGTACGAAAAGAAATTTTATACTTATTTGGTATTTTTATCTATATATAAGTAGAAATATTGTAAGAATTCACCAACACAACTAAAACATATACCTAATTCACATGAAAGATTGAAAATAAATAAATAAATATCGGTGACAAAAATATATGTAATGTAATTGCGGTGAATATACAATTCACGCTTGTTGAAATTAATGCAAAGAAAATTTTGTCGTGCATGTTAACAGTTCTACTTAGAAAAATAACAATGCCCTTCCTATATACTCTCTAATTAAAAAAATATAAGAAAAAAATATGATCGTGTAAAATAATAATAATATTATGAGCTAAAACTATGTTACGTTTGTTGTGTATCACTTTAGAAAATCAATAATGTTTCGTTTTTCGGTATTTTCATTCGTATGTTCTAGTTATGGTCATTTTAAAAATTTAAAATTTGGAATCGTACTTCAATTACGTTAAAAAAATATGGCGTATTGTGCGAATTCGACCTAAAAGTTATTATGACTAAGGAAATCTACGTATTTTACAAATACCTTTTTATTAAGTTGAATTAACTTCAATTTCACGACATATTAGTTAACTTTACCTATTTAAAGAAATAATAACTTATAGGTTTTATAAAAAAATTACCTATAGGTAAATATAACATATTTAGGTCACGTTGTTCTGCACTTGAGATTTTAGACGTTTCACTTTACGATAAAAATCGGAAGTATAACGATATGATTTATTATTTTTCGAACTCATTCTATTAATTATTGTTCGCACTCATTTAAAGCTCTATCTACACCACACGTAAATTAAGATTACGACTGTAATGGTTTTTTTAAAATGGCCGAAATTCTTAAGATTAATGACGAAGACAGTAACTGAACAACCTAATTGTTAAAATAACCTAAATAATATAAATTTTACAAATAGGTCATGTATGACTTTTTTTAAATTGGTGGTTTTTAGTCGAATTTCCTTTGTGATAAATTTTTTAGGTAATTGCTACAACAAAGTTAATAAATATTTCTTCAAGATGACTTATAGGTCAACTAAATGAGTATTCGACTATTTGGTTGAAATTAGGTAGATAAATAGGTAGAATTTTGCTACGATCTCGACCTAATATTACTTTAAAGGAGAGTAAATAAAAGCGGCCAAATAGGTTACTATGGAGGCATAAAATTACGTAGAATTTTTAACCAAATCTACCTAGTTGGATATTCTACTATAAAGACGATTTTTAGTTGCCAAACAGGTAGATATTACCTAAATATGGCACCTAATTTTACTACAAAGGAAATTTAACTTTGAAGTAATTGTTGGTTATTTTTTTTAGTAGTTTTTCTCTTGCTGATATGGTTAAAGTTACTTTTAAGCAGATTTGTGTAAAAGGTAGATTTCTTGGTATAATTTACGTAAATTTAAATATAAATTAAAACCGTTTGGTAAATTTACATTAGAGGTATATTTTTCTAGTCAATTTTACGTAATAATTACCTCAATAAGTAAATTCGTCTTAAACAAAGTCGAGTTATAACTAATGTTATAGAAAATGTTTGCTGGAGATCTAACATTGATTTTCTACTGTAAATTATTTTGTAAATTTATGAGTACCAGGACTATCGATAATCACTTTTAAGATTAACAAAATCAAACAATTTACTTACAATATGATTAAAAAGACTGTGTAGGGCATCAGAAAGATTTCCGTGAAAGCAACTCCTTTTAAGATATTCAAAGATTGGAACTCCACCAAAGAAATGAGCAATCTTGCGCCCCACCAAGAATTCTGTCCTAAAGTCTTAAAAAAAAATTTATATAAAAGATACTAATTGTCTAAAAATAAAAATACTTACATCCAATAAAGTCAATGAATAGCTGGCAGAGTGGAGTATGCAGAATAACAAAATTGGTACGAGTACCACTATATAAACGTTAAGAAAAAATATTTTAAAAACAATAAATGCTGTATACAGAGCGATTCATTTGGAAATTTTAAGTATTTGGGAGTAGAGAAGGGAACTGAGGTAGTTCTAAATAACTCATACTAAAATGAGTCTTTGATTCTTTGTAACAAAGGTTTTTTCGGGATGTAAATGTTTTCTCTTTTTATTATTTGCTTAATATTTAACAAATATTATAATTTCTTATATAAACAGGTCGTTTATACTCATTGAAATTAGCTTTTTACCTCAAATACAAAGCTATCAATTAGTTTTACATTAAAATTGTGACCCACAGAATATATATAATATATAATGTTTGAAGATTTTATTGATGACCGGAAATGTTAATAATTACATTGTTTTAAAATCCGGACCTGGATTTCAACTTTTATTATTCGGCACCATTCAAGACAAGAAATATATTTAGTGAATACAAAAAAATATGTTCCATAAATTATGAAAAATTAAAGAAATGAGCAACATAGATAAATTACCCTGTATCTTGGTTATAAAGAGTCGGACTATTAAATATATAGGTTATTTAGAACCACCCCATTATCTCCTACCTGTTCTTAACATATGTGCATTTCATAAAGAATCGCCCTGCAAACTTCTGAATTCTAATTGAAATACACAGACATAGTGTATCCTAACATTAAGATAAATGTTATTTTAAGAAAATACCTTATTAAAAGAGTAATTAAATTTTTATAAAAAAAAAACAGGTTACGGATGAACATATACAAACAAAAATGTCGGTTCACAAATTTGCATAGGTAAAAAAGAAGAAAATTACCAATATTTAAACTTTCTAAATATATATGACAGGTAAAACAGCTGGTTTTATTATGTCGATATTTTTCAATTACACCCTATATAAAAACAGTGTTGGCAAGATAAAACATGGCGTTATACCTTGATAATTTTTTGAATTTCTATTTGTACTATATCGACACTGTATCAGAAGTAAAGCAGGTCCAAAAGTTTGATTTTTTGTTATTAAAAAAAGGATACATGAAACAGGTGCAACATACAGGAACATCAGCGAATAGAAGAGATAATGGCAGCTGTCTTCTGTTAACAGTTGTGCAAGAAATTGTCGATTGAACTGCACCGGTCCCAGCCTCTGGTGTAACCTCAGCGCACTGATCGCTGCATTTGCAAGCAATACTTTGTAATAGTAGTTATAGGAATTACTGAAAATATAAAAAAATATATTTATTTTGTAGGCTACTTATATATTCATCATTCTAGTGGTCAAAATTTAATGCAATGAAAGGAAATTATTTTTTGTTACGCTTGTTTGAAAACACCCTGTTTCCCATATTTTTTTGAGAAGTTAAAGTGCCGTTTTTTGTGCAACTGCACAAAAAAAGATAACAGACCCTAAATAAGTTTTTAAAAATTCAAAATGGTGTTGAAAAGTCTCCCTTGAACGAAAATAATAAAAATCAGGTTACTTTAAGCATTTTTGAAAAATCAGTTTTTTTTGGATTAATATAAATTGCTACTTTACAAATTTTTAATATTTAATTACTGATGGGCTCAAAACTTTTTAAATACATTACTGTTGCTATCCCCTCTGCTAGTTTGAAATAAGTTCCGACTTGGGATGCATTTAGTTTGTACAATGATAAACCTCACCTATTGTCAGATTGGTAATAAAATTTACTATTTAATATCGGAATAGCGTGCCATTTAAGTAAAAAAGATTTTAGTAAAAAAACACGTTTTGGAAATTTATTTTTTATCTGAAAAATTTATTTTTAACTCGGTAAAATAGCTTTTGTTTCGAATTATTCGATGCAATTAGACCAATATTTTTCCCCAGTTCAAAGCCTTTTCTATATAAAACGAAAAAAATAATATTTGCCAACAGTGTCTTGTGTTATTTGAACCTTAATTAAAAAAAAAAAAAACATCAAATATACTGAAGAGAAAAGATTGATTTCCGGTTTTTGCAGATTCGTTGGTAATTTAGTCTTCTTTTAATCTGTGATGAAAACTGTGAACAGAATTCCAATAAGCAGAACCGGACTCGTAAAAATATAGGTAGATAACGGTTTGGGTTTATTTAAACCCTTCTTTCTATTATGTTCTCTTTCTTCTGAATCCTTGATGTGATTCGTCCATTTTAAAGAAGACAAGTACTCTTTAAAAAGCAGCAAATTACGTAGTTAATAAAAACTGATAAAAGGCTAATGTGATGAGCTTGATGAAACAGTTACTTCCCTATCTATAAACAATATTAACAATGTGAACATTTGAAACACAATTTTTTTATAAAAAATATAATTTGCTACATTAGAATAAAAAACAGCAACACTATTTTATGTGTAAATTGCATATTTATTTAAATCCGGCAGCGTAACATCCTGTACATAAAATTATATTATCTAGTATGTTTCGATAGGAAATGGCGCACTTTATATATCTCTTTTATCTGAGGTTCTTATTCTTAAAGTATCAAAATTCTATTTACAAAACTCGTACTGAAAATTTATTTAAAATAACAAATGCAGTAAACCGTTGCAATAAAATCGACCTTTAAACCTTTTAGTAATTCTCAAAAGTTGTTTTCATGTTAGCATGTATTTCTAGTTGTCATCCTTGATAAAAAAAATTAAAGTAGATATGATTTATGATATGTATTTCACTACTATAATAAATGATTTTAAAAAATTACTTAAATTAAATAAAGGCTTAATAGTTGTATTTATTATTCCTGTTTGATAAAGACTCTACAATATAACTACAACATAGGTAAACAAAACCCCACAATTAAAACAAATAAAATATTTAATTTGGTTTTATTTGTTAATAATAAACAATTACGAATTGTCCTTGGTAAGTCAAAACATACAAACACTTAACTACATCTTCCCTACAATTAGCGGAATTCAAAACGAATTGTTATCAAAGATAGTATTTATTTAACATCTATAGAAGACAGCACAGGTAGAAAATAGAAATGAATACAAAAACCGACTTCAAAATCGTGCAGATGCTGTCACATCTTAACCAAATTTATATGGGACCACCCCTGGCGTATCCCCTTACTAACAAAAAAAGAATCATAAAAATCGGACAATGTGATAGATGTAAAATTTCGAACATTATAATAGCTATACAAAAAACAAAAATAATTCTACTTACTCAAATCAAATTTTAGCTGAAAATCATTCTTTTACAGACAACTTGAAATTTTACATATTATAGAAAATAAGGGCAATAAACTAAACCATTTAGAAACACTTGAAATAAATAGATTTAAAAATTCAGATAACCTACTCAATGATCAATTAGATATTAATAACTCACCCTTATTAAATCTCTTTGTTTTGTTCAATTATTTCGCATATACAGGGTGTCCCGAAATTAGACGGTCATATTTTAACAGCGTAATATACATCCTAAAATAGGAATAAAAGTTCATATAAACATAGGTCCGAAAACGTTTCGTTTTCGAGATACAGGGTGTTACAAGTGAAGTCTTAATGGCACATTTTTGTAAATATTTTCTAAAATTTCTTTAATCACCGGTTTTCCAAAGTAAAAAAAAATAGAATTTCTGATTTCACAGGCCTACTAATTATTGTATACACTTTCGAATAACTTATAATGAAATTTTCAAATGCTTTTTTCTTGAAAATGGTGCGTCCTAGCGAGATGCAACAGAAGTAGCTTTATTATAAAGAAAACATTGGTTTTCCAAATTGTATAGTCAAAAATGTTAAAAACTGTCAACAAAAAAAACTTAGGGCAATTTTACCTTAAGTCCCCCCTAATTTATCCACCTATGAAGATGATGAAAAACTGGGGTTTAGTCCGTTAAATAGAGCCTAAAAAGGTAAGCATTTGTACCAAATTTCACTTAGTTATCTTTAAAAGTTTAGAAAATATTGACAAAAGAGTGTCATCAGGACTTCACTTTTAACACCCTGTATCTCGGAAAAGAAACGTTTTCGGACCTATGTTTATATAAACTTTTATTCTTATTTTAGGATGTAGATTGTACTGTTAAAATATGACCGTCTAATTTTGGGACACCCTGTATATTGGATACCGAATTGTAAATTAGTCACATTTGAAAAAGAAGTTGTACTTCGAAACATGTCATGTGTAGTGTTTTTAATTTTTATTTTTTAAAATAAAAGTTTTGTGAAAATTACCAAATTTGGTTTTACTCATTCAAGATAAAATGGATTTTCATCAAGTAAAGGCCGAAACAATAAATATTTTATTAGATTTTGACTAAATTTATATGGGACCACCAATGCGGTACCCCCTTACTAACAAAAAAAAAAAAGAAGAATAATTGAAATCGGACACCGTGTTAAAGAATTATCGCTCAACATACATAAAAAAGAAGAAAAAAAATATTACGACGAATTGAGAACCTCCTCCTTTTTTGAAGTTGGTTAAAAATACGTACTAACTGCCAAAGACAATGGAATGGAAAATAAATTGACCATACGGAAACAGAAAATTCCTTTCTTTCACAGAGGAAATCTGATAGTATAGAATGGAAATTAAAAATAAAAAACAAAGTTATTGAACCTAAATAGTCAATCAAATATACAGAACTAAAATCAGACACCTAATAAGATCATTCACTGCATAAGCCTAATAAAGTATTAAAGTCTAATAATACCAGCCTTGTAAGACATTTATGAAGACAAAAGTCGACAGGTTGCATGAGGGCCAAATACTTACCTGGATCCAACGATTTTCCTAGGATCTGATAAATCTTTCTTATGTTAATATACAAAACTATAAGGAGCAGGAGAATTTTCCAAATTTAAATATTTCGGCGTTAATTCTACCATAGTCAGTGATTTTTATTTATTATTTTGCATAAAACTGTACTAAACCTAGTTATAAAATGAAAAATTACCTTCTTATAAGTTTCTATGAATCATATATAATTAAAAAGTTAATCACCTTTTAAAATTCCCTAAATACTTGTAAAATTGTTTAAATTGAACAGAAATTGTTAAACTACATGCAAAGTAATAAACAATTTTCTAAATAGGAAATATGAATCTACATTTTAACAATTTTTTTAATTTTTATAAAAATTTTGTTCTTTATTTGAATTTTTGATTATTTAGAATAAATAGTTATTTTATTATCTCTGCATACCACCAAAAAATTCACAAATTTGATATTTGATTATTGATTTCCATGTGAGGCATAACTTCTTATTAATTTTTTTTTGTAATTTACCAGAAAATACAAAATGATTCAATGATGAAGAAAAAAAAATGTTTACTTTATTTAAACTTATTTATTTTTATTACTAAATAAGTAAAATAATAATTCAAAAAACCAGAATTTAAGAATAATGAAAATTTTATAGTCACTGCTTTATCTTATATTAAATATTCAAGGTTTACTTCTTTTATACTAGCATAAATATTTGAATAAAATTTAGTTTTGTGTATTCTAGAATTTAATATAATAGAATCAGAAGTATGGAACTGTAACCTACAATTGTAAAGAAACAGAATATGTTTTTTAATACAGAAACTTTATGTGACTTTATCAACTGTTTAAAAAAATAAAAGCACTGAAAATAGGTAAAATTAACCCTATATTAGGTGTGTGGGCTACATATTTTTAATTCCCTTTAATATGAATACAGAGATATTGCTTCAAGTACTAGCACAGCTTATTCAATGGCACAGCTACTCATTTTGCAATAAATAAGGGCAAGAGTCTAATAGGTTTTTGTTGTAAGTCACATCTTTGACATCTCAGGACTATATTCACTGCAATTTGTATGTATGATGTCTGTATTGGGAGTATGATGAAAGTTGTGATCAAAAATATACCCAAAGTTTATGAATTATTATGAATATTGTTAGCATACTTCAATGTATAATAAATTCTTATTCTTGTATGCAATATCAACAAATAAAAAAGTGGAAATTGAGAACAAGGGTGCAACAAATTAGGTACTTTAAAAATGCAAACAAGTTTGTGGCATAAATAATAATAATATTTTTTTATTTCACATTAATAAATAAACATAAATATTAACAAATTAAGATCCTGGTCACATTCTATGGAGGCCATAGAGCTGCAGTACATCTAGACAAATAAATTTCCTAAATGCTAGGATAAATTGGTTAAACATAGGATTCACATTATTTCCATTTCCAGACTGCTGCTGAATTAAAAAAAAAAAAATTCAATACATTCTTGATTGTTCATAAATTTTCATATTTTATAATCCACATTATTGAATAAAACTAAATACATTTACATCTATTCAAATCTCAGAAAACTAAAAAAACAAACTACAAATATTTGAATTGTTTGTGCACTTTTCTGCCCTACCATGAATAACAGCAGATTTCAAAATTTACTCTGAACATTACTACTTTTCTTGAAGTCACAGTGCCCATCATAGATAAAATAACAAGAAATTTGGTCCCGAATCAGTTTCATCAATGATATTAAGAGGTTATTGAGTTAAATTATTTCAAAATATAAATAAAAACTTAAACCCCTAACTTGTTAACTATCAACATTCAATATGAAACATTCTGAATATCTAAAAAATGTATGAAAGCTAATTTTAAATGACATGACATACTTATTCACAAAAAAAATTATGGTTTCAATATCCATTAATAATAGTATTGTATATTTTTGTAATGTAATTATTGGTAATTACACAAAATAATTAGATATTGGTTTATTGATTTGCAATTACTATACCTATAATGACATAGTTGAATTTTTCAGGATTACAAATATTAGGGTTCTAATGTTTATCGAATTATAATCATACTTGAAGTTAACTGTATCATAGAAACGTATTTTTTTATAGTCTTGTTCTAAACTTGGTTTCACTTATATACATTTATAATACCTATTTATGTAAAGTTAATTATTTTTAATTAATGAATTTTTTTTATGATTAATAAGCTTTAATTATACTATTTAAACAGCCAGAACAAAAAAACTAGATCAATTTAAATAACTGTTACTAAGGAGTTCTGAAAACGTTGTACTTACCCAAAGATTGGAATGAAATAAGCTAGAGAAAAGATAATAGCAAACACCCTAATTAACCATAATCCACAATCAATTTTATGTGATATTACATGTTGCTTTAAACCATTAAAATTTAAACTTCTCTGCAGTCCTGGATGTGTTGGATTTGAAGTTGTATCACTCATTTTTAATTATAGTTTTATTAATATGGTCGATGGTCAATGAAAGTCTATATTGGTGTGGTTAACCACGTTAAATATTAAATGTAACTTAGTTGTACACTTTCTAATCACGTAAATTGTTTTGCCAGCGAGACAAACTTCTGAATTAAAATTAGATGAAACTACAAACTTACAAATGATGATGACAAAACAAATAAAATTTCCTCGCTAGGGAAATCCTTAAAAGAATGATGACTTTGACATTTCGTTTTTGACATTAATGGTTTGACACGTCACCCATTCCAAACAAAATGGTGGCCTTGGATTATGACCAATGAACTGCCAGTTCATTGATTATGACAGGTTACCTTGTAACCATGGTGATTTGACAGGGACAATGATATAGATAGTTCTATAGATTGATCATCCACGTTATTCAAAATAAACATATTGCCTTGGAGTAAAGATAAAGTAATTGTTTGCTATATTAATGCCGCGTTTGAGAATCCACATCGGATGCATCTGAGATGTTGTGAATTTTTTATCACGTGATAGAGAATTAGATCTGAATGTAGATGTAATAAACAAACGCTCTAGACTTTATTTGGTCACGTGATAAAATGTCAATGACAAATTAGAAGTTTATTCTTATTAAATTTGACTTTTGAGACTACAAATCAACCTAAATTTGAAATATAAACAAAAATTAAACAAACTAATCACTTTTATATTCATAACAAAGGATAAATTGACAAACAAGACTTCACAGAACACTTACTTTCTGGCATGGAACGAACATCTCATTCACATCTCATTTCAAATCGAGATGTAAAAAATGTAATCTGAACAGGTACATCGGGGATAAACAAACGCAGATGTAGATGTAGTAGATGTGTCCGATGTGGATAAAAAAACGCTCGAGATGTAAAAAATGCATCCGATGTGGATTCTCAAACGCGGCATTAAAGGCTGAAAATTGATTTTAAAACCTTTATTTTTTTAATTTTTGATCAAAATATTATGACAAGAGAGTTTTACGATATACAAACTTGTTAAATAATCTTTTTTGACATGCATAGCAAGACTACTAAACAACTAAAGGAGATGATGAGATTCATCTGCTGCTGCCTTAAGAGACAAATTAAGAGAAAATGAAATGAATTTAAATTGTAATATGTGTAAAAATTGTAAAATAAGTATTTTAGAAATGTAAGCAAATTAATGTTAAAGCCGTAGTGATACAATCTCAAAACTAATATCAATGGACATTTTGAGAAACTACGTGGTTTGTCAGTTTTGTGGAAAATTAATGAGGAAAGTAGATTTTTGTCATTAATTTTCCACAAAATTTGCAGTTTTCCCTTCTAATCAATTTTACTGGAATTTTGAAGAAACGCTATTTTTATTAGTTTTGTAGAAAATGAATGAACAAAATTGATTTTTTAACCATTTTTATTGATGTATAGAACTAAAAATCGCAGATAAACCTTTTAAATGCAATATTTAGACCCTAAATATAAATAAACTAATAACAAATACACAATAGCAAAGTAATTACATTTTGTAGATACATAAAAGAGTTAGTAATTGGGAAATGAATATGAGGATTTAAATGTAACAATTTCACCATGCTGGCGATTTCCAATAAATCTATCCTAATCAAGATAATTCAGAATGGTTTAATTATATTTCTTTATCTTTAACTAACATTTACTGTATTAAAATACATTCTTAATATAAAAATAAGACTCTTGAGATAATTTTTCCACAAATGCATCAATAGAGAGGAATAAATAGCATACGGATAATTATATATGATCCTTCTCTATGTGCAAAGTTCTCCAGGCAATTTTGGTTGAGTATGTTAGTACATTATATGTAGGATGTGTGATTAAAGGCTGTTAGCTCAGAATATTTTTATTCAAATAAGGTTGGATACCTTTCTATCATATCATCAACTAATGTCATTCCTGATCATTCACAATTCATATTATTTTTTTAGACCAGTCTTCAGATATCACTTTCTTTTTATTTGTTAACTAGACCATTTGATTTTTAGTAAAAAATATTTTTCTTATCGTTTACGTTTCAATAGTGTCTGATACTTACACTTATAAAATTTTAATTGCAAATTTAATTGTTTTACTTGTTTAGACATAGTAGATTTTTCTTTTTTAATATTTTCAAATGCTTCTTTAAGCTCGTTATACTTTTGTTCCCAGTTTTCAGTTCCAATACTGTTTTCATTAATTGGAAAATCTGTTTGAGTTCGGCTACGTGGCCCTGGTCTTCTTTGTGATATTCCACTTTTCTGTTCTTTCATTTTTAAAGCTTTATCGGCACTCTCTCCTTTATGTCCAAGGAGTAAAGTAGGGACAGCACTTTTCTTTAAATGTCTCCTTACTGGTAAACCCAATAACTCATGCTCAAGATCCCGTTCATAATCACCGCTTGTAAAATGGACCGAACAAATTTGGCTAGTTGCGGGATTCCATTCATCTGCTCTTCGGCAACTCCGAATCCACTCTTGTAAAACTAAATCGTTCCCAAATGGAAACTCATGATATTTTATATCTGGATTCACTAATTTCGTTTTCACACGACTGTTTTTACAAACGGCTACTGCACAACGTCTGCCTGGCATATTCTAATTTTAAATAAACACTATATCAGTATCGTTATTCAAAAATAATAATTTTTACCATTTAAATAGAATTTAAGTACTTTCAAATAAAGTTTATTTTCAAAAAACCAAGTATTAATACTATCAATGTCAATTGCTTCTTCCATTTTAAAAATATTGTAGCCTTGTACTTGGCAGAGATTAATTTGAACGTCAAACTTGGCTGAACACGAATTACAAATTATACAAGCGAGTTGTGTTCTGTGAGTGAAACGTGTCTTATGTTCGTAGTTTAAATGACACGACAACTCTGACATATTTATTTTTCAAGATGTCAAGCAAGCCTTCTATTGATGCTAGGCAAGAATTAGCCGAATTAGTAAAAAGAAAAGCTGAAATAGGGGTAAGATTATATATTAAAGGAACTAAAGATACTTTTGAAAACATAAGTATATTTTTAAATAGTATTTTTTAAGAGCAAACAATTTGTTTTTCTTTTAAAATGTGTCAACTGAGCAGCGGGTAATTTAAAATTTATTTTAGGAAACCCTAGCAAATTTGGAAAAACAGATATATGCTTTCGAAGGATCGTATCTGGAGGACACGCAGTTATATGGAAACATTATTAGAGGTTGGGACAGGTATCTGTCAACAAACAAAACAACAAATTCTAAGGCAGACAAAAGAAATAGAAAATTCAAAGAAGCAGAGAGATTATTCTCAAAATCTTCTATTACTTCAATGGCAGTAAGTAATTCAAATATCATTCATTGTTTCTTAGTGAAAATCAATATAAACATTTGAAGACACAAGTGGATGAAGGGCCTATGTAGCAAAATAATTTTTATGAGATATTTCGCATTAAAGTTTATTGTTTGGCAGTTGTTCCCTAGTACATGGGTCCTTTATCCACTGGCAACTTCCATATTTGATGATATATTGTCACGGAAGACATTTTAAACGAATTTTAGGTACATAAGCCCTTCATTTACAGAAACACCATTTAAAAAAAAATGTTACGTAGACCCTTCATCCACTTGTGTCTTCATTTGTGAATTTGTAAATAAAATATGGAGTTGAGATTGTTATTTCTATGTATTTTTTAGGCTGTCAGTGGATTAGTGGACCAAAATACCGATAAAAGTAAGAATTCATATGATGTAGAGAGTAACAACACTTATGCATACAGTAGTAATTGATGTTTTTGTAGGGTAGGCTCTTTAGTAGGTAGTGTAATTAGTTTTAATATTATGTTTATATCTCTTTAATTTATGCTAGTATATTTTGTTACATATCAAACTTTTGTATTAAATTATTTTTTAAACATTTTGTTTTTTGGTTTATGCACTTATTGGCACCCAATCAATCACATTTTTGTGCTTAGGTGTGAACATTGTTTATTTTTTATGTTTAGCATGCTCTTATGTTATGCTTATGCTGTAAACAGCTTTGCTCCATAGATCCAGTATTAAGACAATTATAAACTTGAATAAAGCTAGAATTTTTGGAGCATGTGCATGAAAAAAAAATGCATCAGCACATTGTGGACAAAGTACATTATTTTAATAGGTAATAGACAAGTGTTTACTGAAGAATGTTACAAACATTTAAAGTAACTGCACTGTTAGGTATATAGGATACTTTCATGAAATTATAAAAATGGTTTCATTATGCTCATCAATAACAAAATAAAGATTCTAAAATTATTTGTCTATTTTTTAAATGTGAAAGTAGAAAATCATATGAAAGTGGCTACTTTATTATTGAGCTTGACTCGTGCACTACAATTTGTTAAGATACAATTTTCAAAATAATATATTGGCACACTCTAATAAGGTAAAGATTAATCTGTTTAAATATGTATCCCATATACAGTGAGCATCATAAGTCTTACCCCCCTAACTAACTCGTTATTGGAGTCTTGTTAGGAAAATCGCCGAGACAGGTCAATTTTTGTTTTCTACAATGTACATTTTTGTATGATTAGTTTACCCTTAATTTCATCCCTTATTGGAGGGGAACAACCCTTTCGAAAAATTTAAATGGCATGGGGTGGTGAGTGATAGCTCATTTGAAAGGGGGTTTTATTTTTTATTCAACCGTGCAAAAAAAAATTTAAATTTGCTTCATTACGTGTTGATTTATTAATGTTTAAAAATAACAAAACCTCACAAAATAGGAAAGCAACTTAACTAATAGTGACCTTCTAATGGCAAAACGTCTTCACGTCTGAACCGAAATCATGCAAGGCCGAATTTTAATTCTAAGGATGAGTGCGCTACGTTAATTTCCGTTATTTTGAAACAACAATTAGTCGAGAATTAATGAAGCAAATTTCAAAATTTTTTACATGGTTGAATAGAGAATAAAACCCTCTTTCAAATGAGCTATCACTCACCACCCCATGCCATTTAAATTTTTCGAAAGGGTTGCTCCCCTCCAGTAAGGGATGAAATTAAGGGTAAACTATTCATACAAAAATGTACACTGTAGAAATCAAAAATCGACGTGTCTCGGCGATTTTCCTAACAAGACTCCAGTAACGAGTTAGATAGGGGGGTAAGACTTATGGTGCTCACGGTATATGTAATCACTCATGCAAAAATTTTGTAACTACATTTTGTCATTTGGTTATGTTCTTAAAAAGAATCAACATTTTTACTTTACATTTCTCCTCAGTGGATAGACAAAGCGAATCAGAATCGTTAACAAACGAAGATTCCAGTGACACCAACATGGCCGTCGTAACCAACCACATAGATTCTGGTATCAAAACGACTGGTAAACAAACCACAAATGCAACCTTTTCTGCCTCAAATGGAACTCCGAACGGAATAGATCAAGGAAGCCCATTGCCTGATGTATCAGCCAAGCAGAAGAACTTTGTATCCAGTGCAAAAAAGAATAATAACAAAAAATCCCGACACAGATAACAAAATAAAAAACAAAAGCCTGCCGGTATAGAATCGAGCGAGAAGACTTTACCAGAAAAATGATATATTTGTTTTTCAAAAAAGTGATTCTTAAAAGTTGTTGCCAAGTAACGCTATAATGTGTTGGTTCTGTAAATTTATGAATTTGAAAAATAAAATAAAGAACCCTCACGCTATTCTGTCAAAAAACTATTTGCACTACAAAATACAAATTAAACTGACTGGAATTAGCTATTTTTGTATTAAGAGCACAACATTTCTGATTATCGTTGCCGAGAGTATTCTCAGGTCGATGTTTGACCAAAACAAACAAAATTAATTTCAATAATAGCTCTTGTAGTTCTACTTCTTATTTAAAACTATAAAAAATTGTTAAAAATATGAGTATGATAGATACGAAGCCAAGTGAATAATAATTGGGCGCCGTTCTATAAAAAGTACAAAAGAAATCTACATTGGGCACCTATTATGTATCCTGGATATTTCGTATTTGCTGGTTATTTAAATAAACTGGTAAACAGGTACCCTTACACATTTATTTTTGTTGATTAATTATACTATTTTTCAACCATGTCTAAGTTTGTTTTAGAGGGTTTATAGAATGTCTTTACAACAGTGCAGCCTTATTGGCTCTCTAAACTAATGGGATTTGAGTGTTACTTCATATTAAATAACAGTTTCGCATCTAACATACTCATTAAAGATTTTATTAAAAAAAAGTAGTTTTATATATGTGTCACCAGAACAAAGCAACAACTTAAGCACGATCTGTCAGATTTTTAAAAGCTTCTCACAAAACCGTAATATTACGGTCATCGTCATGCGCAGTAAATAAAAACCGTTCGACTTTGGGCTTTATTGATAGGTTTTTATTTACTGCGCATGACGATGACCGTAATATTACGGTTTTGTGAGATGTTGGGACAAAGCTAATATATTCTACATCGTTTATCTCAAATTTAGCATTTCAGCATTTAAGTTTTGATTACTATGGACAACGAAACTTATTAACAGGATTCTTTGTAAAAAGTTTTAATACACAAATTTTATACTTTACGTTTCTCTACCTCATTTTTCATTATTTTATAAGATCTATTTTCTGCAAAATGATACTCATTTATTGTACAGCCTTTTCATCTAAAATTAATAAATGTGACTGTTTTTTAGTAATATCGTAAAAAATGTCTTATTGGTGTTAAAAAATACATAATTAGAAACTACAATAAGAACTGAATATGTAATTAATAAGTAAGGATTAAAAAAATGTAATTTTATGGCATTTATAAAAAAACAATAAATATTTAAAATAATATGGTTTTTTATTAAAATATAAGAGGTTTAACAATAAAATAAAAATAAGAAAAGGCGCAGTATATCTAAATATAATTTTTAACATAGAGTGATCCACAAAAAAATATTTCTGAGACGAACCATGAAAAAAATTATTTTTTAAAGATAGTTTGGAATTAATTCTGAGGCATGTAGTTATCATGACTCGTCCTTTGTCCATGTTTCTGATCACATATTATAATTGATACATTATTTTTGATATTTTTTTTTTTACTTTGGAATAGTAAATTATGTAAATTTATAAGTAATACATTTCAGTCTTAAACTATAAAATATTAATCACGGAAAATATTTAGGGATTCAAAAAATCTGGACTCTGAAACAAAAATGTTTTAATGCATTATTTTAATTGATCATTTGCAAAGCAATAGTTAAATTAGAAACTTACGTTGAATAATAGTTGGTGCAGTTTTTTGTTTACAAAACAGCAGGATAAAATAGAATAAAATCGTAAATAATAGTACTCCAACACTAGATCCAATGAAAATATATTCATTGTGTCTCCGATATTTACAACAATTATTGCTCCACAAATTCCATGTTATGTTCATCTGTGTTAAAAAAAACCGTTTCAGTAATTTGAATTCATTATTTTTACTTAAATAAATAACAAAATTAATATTTATGGGTTTAGTAACTTACAATATCAACTATATCCATACAAACACCAATTTTTTCATTAATATTGCTAATAGTCTTGTAATAATTGTCTAGTTTTACATAATCTTTCATGCATCCAGAACAAAAATCATCTACATAGTTGCTGGTGCAGTTGGTAAAATCTTCATAATATGTTTGAAATTGCAGAGTTTTATTTGAAACTGTCAGATTATGTATCATATTATCACTATCATAACATTCTAAAACAAGTACAAGGTTAATGCTCCAGTTTCATGTTAATTTGTCAAAAAATTACCATTACATTTTGCTCTTGTCCACAAATCTACGCTGTTATCATACAAAATTTGTACAATTTGCAGTCTGTCTTGGTTTACAAACTTGTCAAAGCAAGAAGTGCCATTATCAACTGCCTAAAACAGCAAAATAATTTAGCCTGGGTACTGATATACTTATGTTTACTGAATATATGCTAGGGACATAAAGAATTATATTAGTCTGGCTACCTGGATTATGTTATTATTATAATATCCAGACTTGTAGAGGGGATGACAATTACAATGGTTATATCTCATTAACTAAAGTAGACATCTGAAAATGCTTTAAATTGTTTCTAGGATACAAAGAACTTAAATGTCAAAACATAGAAATAAAATAAATAGCACTAACAAGATAATGCACAAATTAATTTAATTTGACAACACACTGCATTAATTTGTGTGATTATTTCCATAGTCCTGACAGCAAAAGTTATATTCAATAGATTATATCATGATTTAATAAAATAAAACAGCTCAATAATTTATAGTTAAAAGTACAAAAGCAATGACAGAACATGACAAGCTTGTCCAATAGATCTTTACAGCATGAATGTACCAATCCTGATTGTCAAGTATGGAAATTATTAGGTACATTGTAAGTTATGAGTTATACCCTATACAGGGTTCAATAGTAGGTACATAATAATTAAAAACCTATATTTAAAAAGAAGATAGAATATTTATCTCAATTAAATATTTTAATATATTTCTAATCCAGTACAAAAGAAATTGTTTTTATTATATTATATATTTTTAAATTGTCACCCTCTGTATTATCATAAATATCAGTACATAGTCATTTTAATGGTTCAAATTTCATTATAGACAAACTATAAATACATAATTTGAGTAAAGAATGTGAGAAATTTATTAAATTTACTTTAGACATATTCTGAAAACTATCTAAAACATCAACATAGGTATTCACACATTTTTCGCATATAGTTATTGGTCTAGATTTGTCAATAGCACATAGTGTAAATTGAGCAGAGGCGTTAGCAAATTTTTCTCGTAAAACTCCACATTCAACGTCTTCATTTTCTATACAGTTGGCACTAGAACAAAAATATGTGGTTAAAATTGGACAGCATTAGAGTAACCTTTCAATATTAAATCTGGAGACTGGGTGAGGAGGATGCACAATGGGCCTAGTGAAGCCTAAGTGCTGTGTGGCAACCAATTCTCCCCAGTTTACAGAGATAAAATATTATAGTCTATTATTACAAAAATTATTAGTGTTTGATGCAAAAAACAACTTACCTAAGTATAGTCATGTAATACAAAATATAAATAAATGCATTGTGCTTAAAGTTAAAATAAAGTAATCCCATGGTATTTTTATACAATCATAACTATTTATTTATGAATCAAATCAACCTTTCAAAAAATCCTCTTTGTTTTCTTATGGTGATGTGCTATTAATTAATATTCCAGTCCCGGATAGCCGAGTTAGAAAAATTTATGTAATTGCCACACACTTAATATTTTTATATCGAATATTATTTTTTAAGACTTTAATAAAATATTTTTTGAGATACTGGTTTTTAAAATTCAAATTATTATTAATAAAGACTGCCTATGTGCTCATCGACCGTAACTGTAGCCACCGAACAGTCGAAGGTCACAAGGAAGGCCCGTATTTATAAACAGAACTTAGGGTACAAACACAGAGAACGCTGGCGAATGCTGGTTTTGTCAGCGCTGGTTTTCGCTTCTATTCTCTCTCAACTAGTTTAAATGTAAATGACAAAGCGAGCCGATCAGCCAGGACCTGCTTTGTCTGTGTGCGAGGACATTTAAAATCATTGTAAATTGCCAGCGCTTATAAGCGCTGATAATCAACCAGCGTTCTCTGTGTTAGTACCCTTACGTGAGTCGGACTTGGGTAAGTTGTCCTTGAACTAAAATCGAAGTTCGGTTACAACGTCTCTAAAGTTCTAGGTGGTTCTGGTGTTTGACTGGAATTTAGAGATGGATATAAGCAAATATGTTACTGTTATGTACATTTACGGATTTGTTACTACCCATCTCTAAATTCACGCGATATAACCGAACTTCGATTTTCGTTCAAGGACGACTTACCCAAGTCCGACTCAGCTGATTTTTGTTTATAAATACGGGCCCATGTGTCATGTTTCTCGACATGCGACATTAGTTTAAATGCTCTGTCCTTGTAGTAGTTCCATTAAACCAATTACGTTTAGGACCAACGATTTATATAGTTACATAGATTGATCATCGATACGAAAATTAAACGATGCAAAGGGTTGATTTACTCGTATGTTCGGTTTAGATCTCAATTGCCGCGTTTGAGAATCCACATCGGATGCATCTGAGATGTTGTGAATTTTTTATTACGTGATAGTGAATTAGATCTGAATGTAGATATAATAAACAAACGCTCTAGACTTTAAATTTGACTTTTGAGACTACAAATCAACCTAAATTTGAAATATAAACAAAAATTAAACAAACTAATCACTTTTATATTCATGCTAGCATAAACAAAGGATAAATTGACAAACTTGGCTTCACAGAACACTATTTTTTGGCATGGAACGAACATCTCGTTTCAAATCCAGATGTAAAAAATGTAATCTGAACAGGTATATCTGGGATAAACAAACGCAGATGTAGTAGATGTGTTCGATGTGGATAAACAAACGCTCGAGATGTAAAAAATGCATCTAATGTGGATTTTCAAACGCAGCAAATGTTTTGCATGTATGGAAATTAAACTTTACCACTCAAACAAATATATATATTCTCTTTAAAAATACCTAATGCAAGCTCCTAGGTAGAATTCTCGAGTCTCGCATGAAAATTGTCGCACACGGCAAATGTCGCATTTCAAATTCGCATGGTTGTTAAAAATCGTATTCTCGAAAAAGAGTGAATCTAAAATCACAAGCTAGAAATAATGTGAAGGATTTTATGTGGCAACGTAAGAAATTATGTCATCTGTAAACATTAGTGGATGTTCTGTGTTCTTTTTATTTATTAGAGCCCCTCTATGCTAAGAAATTTAGACAATTTTAAAGCAAATAGCAGAATTTCTTTAAACTGCGATTTTTCTTTTTTTATGTATAAATATGGAAGATCACCAATATTGCAGTGCAAATCAGAAAACGGAATATTAAAATATGTAACGAAAACATCCTGCTGATACTCTACTTGGGGGCGTTATAATATGCTAGTTACAATATCTATGAAGAGCCGCGTTGATTCCTTAGACAGTCGAAAATTCTTGATACATAACACATCATTAATTCAAAAGGGATTTTTATGAACAAACTTCTTCCTTTTATGCTATCACTCTTTAATGTTTTGATTTTCAACACAGCCAGTAAATGTTAATTTCATCAAAATCTACCTCATTCATCTTTACGGTCCACAAAGTCGCATACGAATTTAAATTCGAGCACTTTAGACCACTTGTGTTGAATTCACCTGACATTTGTCGTATGCTGTTTTCTAGAACACACTTTTTTAAAATCACCTAGTTGCTATTCGACATTTCACTAATCTCGCATGCGAATCGAGGTATTCGACATTCGAGAATACTACTTGAAGTAAACATTCAGATAATTTTTTTTTTTAATTCAATTCCTACTTTGATGAAATTAAACTCATTTGGGCCAGACCGATTCTGCCTGGTGAGCACTCAGCAAGGCTTTGTTTATATATGGATGAGCAGTCTATATATTTATATATGTCATTGGTTTAGACAACCTAACCTAACTCTTCCCCCTTTAATTTTTGTATTTTTGATAAATTTATAAACATATTATTGTTTATAAAAATGTCTTCAGAAGATCCACTTACATTACAGAAAAAACTGTATTTTTTATTAGAACAGCTTCAAAATATGGCTAGAGATTTACCACCGTACGTAACGAACATTCCTTAAAGCCTTAATTAAATTAATTGTAAACATTTTTTAGAAAATATCAAATGCGATTACCATATGAACTTCTCTCTAGTTTGGCAAATTGTTTACTAAATGAGACTATTTTTGAAATCGTAAAGGGACTTTTAGAAATCCAACATGTTACTGAACAACATTTATATCAACAGAGGCTGCAGTTTATACATCAAAAGAAAAGTATGTATATTATGCCTATAATTTTAGAATTAGAAGATGTTTTATTTTACAGAATATTAAAGGACCGGAGTAGTCCAGGGACACCCCTTGTTTTTTTTGTTTAAATAGTACAAAAATTATAACAAAGTTTTTTCTAATGATTTTATTTACTTCAGTGCAGGAACAGGAAATTTTGAAACAATACGAACATGATACCAATAAAAAAATTGAAGAACTCCAAAAATTTATGTTGCAACAGAAAGAAGATTTAAAGACTTTCGATATGAACCTAGTTTTACAGCTTGATCAGAAAGTAGCAGACCAACAGGAAATTTTAGAAAAAGCTGGTGTTCCAGGTTTTTACATTACAACAAATCCTCTAGAAATTAAAGTTCAAATGCATTTGTTGGATTTTCTTTTGAGATTGAGCAGAATGCCCATACCTCTGTAATTATTCATTTGATTTCTAATTAAGTATATTGCTGGTACCATAATTGTTATGTGATAATATTAAATAAATTGAATTTATACTAATTTACTGTTTTAAAATGGGATAACCCATAAAAAAGTGGGTACCTACAAGTTTCCTTTATATTTATTTATTTCTTGATCTTTTGGTATATTTTAGGTTTGACTGCTTTTTTACATGGCTTTTCTTTTACTGTGATGAATTTAAAAGTTTCTTATTTATTTAATGCTTATCTTAGACATTTTTATATACCCTCCTACATACAATGAATTTAATTTTTTTTTATATACTTCAGAAACTGAGAATCTTGGAATTGTTTAACCTCAATAGTTAATTATCTAATATATTTATTTGATGTGGCCAATTAAATTTTGGCAACTTATACTAGTTTTTTATTGAATTATATCTTATTTTTATTAAAATGTTACATATTTTCAATTCAGTGTTTTAATAAATTATGAATTTTGTATTAACTTTATAATTATAATTAATAAACCTGTTTCACCAGATTTAGTTTTTGTCAAATTTGTCAACCTTTTTCTATATACAGGGTGGGATTAAACATTTTTAATAGAAACGTTTTTCTTTTGAATAATCATCTTAAAATAAAATTTAATTTTGATGGTGCTAAATTTTATATCAACACATAAAAAAAAATTGAGAACAATGGGAATGGGGTATTAAAAATATAAAAGCACGTTTTGTTTCCTATTTATTTACATCAACAAACAACATATTATATTTTAATAATAACCAAGTATGTTCATCTCCACTGTTTAAAAACCAAATATAATGCATAACTAACTGTATATTTCTAGAATTATGTCAAAAAGTGACACCAGATACAATAAAAAATGGCAATAAAAATATAAAATAATCAATACTTGGGAGAATGAAATGCAAAATAAAAAGTATTCCTTAGGTAGGTTTTTGAAATACCAACCACTATAATACAGTGGGTGTCTGAGCACCTACTTTCTGATAAAATTGGATTGAAATAGTTCAAGCAACAAGTGAGAAAAACAATACCTCTCCCACGAGTGCAGAGAAATTTTTACAGTTGTCAAGCGGGTGATTTAAAATCCTTACTTTTTCTTTAAAAGGATTTAAAATTAAAAACAAACAATATTTTAATCCAAATTTAGCCAGAAATTAGGTGTTTCAATAAATAGAATAGAAATATTGTAATCCTCATAAATGAATGTTTTCTTTTCTATAACCTTGACCTGATTTATTATTACTAAAATTAAAAAATATTTATGAATACTAATTCATACTACAAATGTGTATTGTTTTAAGACATGAACATACTCATGTATAACAATGTAAAAGACGAGATACTCCTATATAAATGCTCTTTATTTGTGCTCACAATCTTATAATAATCGTTTTGTAAATTTCAGCAGGTATTTATGGCGTCGAAGTACAGATTTTGGCGAAAAATTGTAATTTTTATTGCCTCTATCTGTAGTCGAAGTACCTGTAGCTTTTATTAAATCTAAAACGACATTTAACTATACCAATTTATATAATCGCTACTTGTCTGTCAAAGCTAGCCACTGTGAGATAGTTTCTTGTCAAAAATAATTCACTTTGAGAAGATGTACGTCAGAAAATAATTATAAGATTGAAATATAAATATTTGAGATTTTTAAACAATGTATTATTTTAAAAATTACACATTTTAGGAATATACCCCAAATATACGAAATATGTATATGGTGTATTCATAGATATAACAAAATTGCAAAGGAATTGTTTTTGTAATTTATCATAAAAATGTTCAGGACCATAGAAATTCTACACGTACATCAACAAGCGCGCACAATTTAAACAATAATGTGCATAGGGAAAATAAATAATAAAGCGACTATCTGTAGAAATATCGAAAATTGGAATCATTATTAAAACTAGTCGTGTTGGCATAAAGGATGGACTTTTGAATGTAACGCAACAAGTATTAACACATCACAAAGATCTTGAAAGCATCAATAGAAAATTAGAGCACTTCATAATGAAATGGTTGCTAAAATAGAGAATTTGAAAGCACAAGAGAAATTATTTAAGGCAATCAATAAAATTAGTTCACGGAATTTGCTTTGAATGAAAAGATTCAGCTTGTCAATGAGTTGCATAGGCCTACTCGTAAAAACTATCCTAGACGTCGTACAATAATAATTATTACAAGCTTGGAGGATTTGTAGTAAATGGATTTGGCTAAAATTCAACTGTATGCTCATCAAAAAATAAAAATTTCAAAATGATAATGGTAATTTTATTATCGATGTTTTTCAAAGTTGAAGGATAGTTACCCCAAGGAGATTTATTCATTCTGATGATGTTCAACGTTTAATGATGTTCAAATTTTTGGAAATTAATTTATTTAATATGGGCCTAATATGGGTCACTTATTATTATATCTATGAACACACTTTCCACTAATCATTTGTTAGAATACACAAATAGAAAACTTAAATACTGTTGTGCGACTTATATTAAATTCACAACTCAAATAAGTTTTTTTTTATTGAAGCCTAAAATAGTATATTAAACATAAAAAAAAATAAACCGAGCGGTATCTTTATGTAATACCTTCGATACCACAAACACCCTATCAATATAACAATAAATATAAACGGTTAATTAAGTCTTCTAATCACAATTTGTAAAAATAATTCAGGCGTCTAATATCAATTGTAACAAAGTCCACTTTTCTAAATTTTCCACTACACAACAAAAACTATTTAAAAAATATTAGGACGTTACATAAAATTACTGTTTTGACTTTTGAGTGTGTAAATAAATTATTTTATGTAAATTGCATACAAAATCGTCGTAGGATTTTAAACATTATTTTAAATTGGCTATATATTCAAAGAGATTGCTGTTTATGATAGTTAAATGGGGTGAGAAAACATCCAGGACTGTATTGATAACAAACACACTTCTGCTCACTAATTATTGCTGTGATTAACAGAAACTAAAAACAAATGTTATTTATACTGTACTTTAAATAAACCTAGGATCATTTATTATTCCAAACATTTTGAAATTATTTTACGGTAAAATATGTTGCGCCAAATTTTACTTCAACTTGCACAAATAACACTGCCATAGAACTTTTAAGTACATTAGGCGTATTTGACAAAACTAAATGCAAAACGAACATTTCAAATCAAATAGCATTTGTTAAATGTAAACTTTCGTTGATTATTAAACGACTTTAATTTGTGCTTTTACGTTATTAAAAACAGTTTCAAAAATACTGTTTTTAGCATTTTTAACACACTTGCGTATCTTTTATCTACAGGAGTACAAGAGACCGCCATTTTATAAATTTGTACTAACAAATTCTTATTATTTTGTCATTATGTACTAAGAAACAGTATTTAATTATGCACGTGTTGTTACAAACCGACTATAGCTGATTTAAACTGATTTAACCACTTATTATTGGCTGAAAGTGACTTTGCTACTTTGGATACAAACTTACAACTTTGCTGAATGGTTTTAACGGCTTAAGCCCAGTTGTACCACTCCAGTTTAAGGGAGGTTCAACTGAACCTGGTTTAGACTGTGACAAACGTCGTACTAACTATACCTAAATGTCACAATCAAAACCAAGTTTAGTTGATCCTCGCCTGAACTTAAATGGTACAACTGGGCCTAATGGGGTCTATTCTGTAACAATTCCTTTATATTTAACGGCCTTTAAAAATATTTTCGTATTGGTTAATTTACTTCTGTCATTACTTAAACAGATTTCTTTAAGATAGTCCTCTAATGTATTTCAAAGACCCGTTTAAATAATGACAGAAGTAAAGAAGAAAATATTTTTAAAGGCCGTTAAATATAAAGGAATTGTTAGAGAATAGACCCCAATTTCTGTTTTTGTTACAATATAAGATCTGTTATTTTAATAAACAAACATTCCAAACTGGTACGACACAAAAAGCTTTAATCGGAAAATTTGGAGTTTGCTGCTTTTGATTTTAGACTCCTGAATTGTACACAGACGAAATGTACAGGACACGTTAAATTTTATTTCGTAAAAGTTGACATGAAAAAAATTAAAAATAGTCGGATCCGAACATAGTACATGAAAAGTAGGCAATAAACGAGGCGTTTTCGGTAAAACATGGAATAAGATCAAAATATCAAAACCCCTCTTGGTATAGGGACCGTGCGTCATGACTTTAACGCTAACTGGTGACAAAAATGTGAACTTTTTGGGGGGTATTTATTAATGTTTTATACGGCATTTATTGTTTAATAATTATTAATAAAATGAAGTCGAATTATTTTCGTAATATCAATATCGAAAAAACTTGTTGCATCCGTGGATGTACAAACACATCACTTTAGAAACCTGGATTTCATTCGATAGTAAAGAAATTTTATAAATTTCCACAGAGCACAATTATGCCTCACACCCAATGATATACATAATTACAAAGATTGCTTATCCATATGTAAATCAGACGACGAAAACCGTATTTCACTGGGCAAAGTTTTCTTTTTATCTAGCTTGTATCAATTTTGAGCACTTAGTTGTAAAGAAATTATTTACAGAAAAATTAGAATCTTTAGTGTTTTCTTGTCATTAAGATTTTTACATATTTAAATGACCATTTTATATAAATATAATTTTACAGATAATGGTTTATTCTGTTGATTAAAACTAATGTAGAATGTTATGAAATAAGAATATCCAATTTGACAAAAATATCACGGCCCTCTTTACAATTTATTAACTATTTCTCATTTATTATTAAAATAAACAAATCATAAATAATACATTGCAATTACTGTCAAAAGAGATTGTAACAAACTTTAAAATATTAAAAATCCAGTGATTTTTTGTAAAAATTTTTAGTGACATTACCATTAAACATTATTCAGAATAATAGATAAGTGTCCAATTACAACTCTTACCAAAGTTGTTCATACCTCATATCAAAATTGTTTACATTACCTTTTCAAAATTGTATTACATATTGCAATTATGTATTTTATGTAGAATTGTTTCTGAAATAGTAGTCTAAAATTATTTATATCCATCTGTTATAAAAATTGTTTAGATCTCTTAATATTATTTAACTACATGAAAACTCAACTTTCCAAATACATATTGACATGTCTTGAAGTAAAACTTTAATTATTATCTTTTTCTAAAGATTAAAATGCTGAAATTTTATTTTAACACATTTGGGCTAGAACGGCTCTATTTAGTGAGCACTAGGAAAGGCACATTGCAACCAGCTTTTCATAATTTTTTTATAGTTGGGTGAGCAATCTATAATATATGTATCATTGAACATCTCATAAACGCCAGTGTGACGCCAGTGGATGAATGACATTTCGATTAACATAAAGCTAAAAAGATTTATAATTATTATTATCAATCTTTTTTATTAATTTACATTTTTTAAATGTTATTGTAATACTTTTAAATTCAGTGTTACTAAATACCTATATTTTAACATTGGATACACTTGTTTAAGGTACAACTTTACAATTTATTGTCACTTAGCCATTTAAATCTTTTTGCTTAAAATGTATATGCAATATGCATGTCCAGATTTTAATAATGTTTCACATTTTACGTCATTTTGACCATGTACACGATTGTTTGGTACGGGCCGGTATCTATTTTTAACTATATTTAATATTTAAAAAAATACCCTTCATTATTTACTTGCAATGTTTACCCCATTTAATTCTAAAATTAAACACTAGAGAGGGCTAAGTTCGGCAGTAGTGCTGCCTCTATATTTCACGCACGGTCCCTATATATTTTGTTAAATCGAATATCTGGGAAAACAGTGAGTTGTAGCAGAAAATGTTACATATAAAAATTGTTGTCAACAACATTTTCTACAATTTTTCTAACTGGGATGATAAATGCAAAAGTAAAGGACGTTTTGATTTAATGAGATAAATTGTATGAAACATTTACTGCTACTAACACCATTATTGTTCTAAAATTTCTATAAAAGCTTAAGAATGGGTCAAATTTGACGAAAAATAATCTTTTTAGCAAAAATTTCTGTCACAGTTCTGTATAAGTTAGAAAAATATACGTTAAGTTTTGTGATAGAAAAAGTACATTACTCGTTACAAAATTGAACTTGAGATCTTTATTTCTAAGAACAAAAAACTAAGTTTCCCTCTATTGCTACCAACTGTCAGATTAATGGCGGTTGACCATTGAACTGTCACATACCTTATCTGTGTCAACCGATTTCAGCGATTAATAATAATTGTAAAACGTCAATATTTTGGTTCCGGGTTACTTTTTTAATTATTAAAAAAAATACAAATAATTATTAAATATATCTGTTTTAATAGACGTAAACATTTTTAGCCTCATCTACACATGTAAAGCACCGAAAATATATAAAGTTAATTTTAAGTGTGGCCCTGCACAAATCCTGTTGACCTAATTTTGTATTTATACCATTAGAAAAAGGAGTTTTTCACGAGTATTGGCACAAACACTAACCATCCGATACTCTAGAATGCGGGGAGACTAGTAAAAGGGAGACCTGAAGAATTTTTTTACTTTAGAGAGTCTTCTTCGGAGTTGTTCCTGTTCCATACGAGGATCCTTTGTTAATTTCAGACATACCAATTGACTTATTTAGCAAGATGTAGACTGAAAAATAAAATCAAATTACATAGTTTTCGAGTAATATAGAAAACAAAGGGCCTGGGTTCGAGGCTATACAAACTAATATTTTTGGGATGGTAGGAAAATTTACCACTTTACTCGTAAGAAATTAAGAAAATATAAGACTATTTATAAATTAAATATAAACTTATATTAAATAACATGTTAACCCAGGAAAAAATAAAATAAAACTAAAAATATATAAAGATTAATCTATTAAAAAGTTACATTTCTAGATTTAGCAGAGCCAAACAATTTTCTGTAAATCTACAGAGTAGGCAACTGTATTTTCAATGGAAAGCATTTTCTCATGGAGTTCCTTAAATAAATTTTGACTAATTTTAGTTTTGGGACCTAATTTTGTTTTGTTTTTTTTGTGTCGTGTTAGTTTAATATAACTTAATAATTATGAAATTTAATTTAAAACCAATTCCACTATTTATTAATTATCCCATAAAGAAACTTAACAATACTTACATGCCGCTATGATGCCAGCACCAATGGAGAAATACAGCAGCTCGCCGCTAAAGAGCAACTTGATCAAATAATACGAAATCGGCAGCAGCGTCACTGATTGCCAGAAAATAAGGTTAAATATAGAGTGCTGGCGAGATGGTACTTGAAACGGTTCCACTCGCTCGACGCCAGACGTGGCAAAGAAATCGCCAGTCTTAAGAAAGCTTTCCCTCAATTTATCCTTAAAAGGAAGATAAATGATTACAAATAATCTTGATCGAAATGAATGATCCTTCAATAATATGTTTACCAGCAATTCAAAACGCGCTGGAACACATAACTCACCTTTTTGACGAACATTTCTTTCAGAAATTCCTCTTGTTCGCTGGGCGTATTTGGCACTTGCTCGAATGGTACTCTATCGAAATAGATATGCGCCTCTGTTTGTCGTCCAAATAACAAGTTAGTGATGGTCGGTTTGACGGGAGCATCCTCGTGAAAAGCTAGTTCTATGTTATAGATGGCCGGAACTTTGCCTCTCATGGACGGCAGGCTGGCTATGAAGCCTTTGGTTCTCGGCAGTAGATGGTATTTTAGTGGAGGTATATTGTGTTTGTTGGCGAACTCGATTGATGCTTCGTGTTTTTTGGGAGTAAAACGGGTGCCTTCTGGGAAGAGCAGTAACTAAAAGAAATTAAGAATTTTTTTGTAGAAAACACAACGATTTGTGTAGTTTAGGATATTATCCAAATTCCCTTTGATAATGAAATTGGGCATTTTTTATTCGTTCTAAGAGTGAAACATGCTTTTATACTTTAAACATATTTTTTTTTTTTTAGATACCTATTCTGTATATTTAATATTTTACGCGGATACAAGGGGGATAATAGGGTAATTATCCTCCCCCCCGGAGCTGCTTAAAGAGATCCAGGAATTTATTAAATTGTAATCTAAAAATATTGTATTGGTATCAGAACTGACGGTTGTAGTGTTATGGTTTCAGAAAAGAAAGGAGCAGTAAAGGAACTTCAGTCAGTATTTTCTAATGCTACGCGTTGTCCCTGTTATAACCATGCGTTAAATTTATCTTTATCGACATCTTCAAAAATACAAGATATACGCAACATAGTTTCATTTATAAAAAGTTATTGAGTTTTTAATGCCTCTTCTAAAAGAAGTAAAGTATTAAAGAATATCCATAAAGGAAACCTGAGTAGTCTTTGCGAAACACGTTGAGTAGAAAGACACGAGAGTATTCTAAAATTTAAAAGATATATTGCAGGCGCTTGAACTAATTTCACAATGGAATGATAGAACTTAAGCTTTTATAAATACATTAACTTCACCACGCTTCATATTTTCTATATTTTTTCTTTCAGATATATTAACAATAACATTGCCATTAAGCGGAATGCTTCAAACAAAAAAATTGGATAAAGTAACTCTAGAGAATTTAATTCAAAACATTTTAAAATTATTAAATAAACATCGATGCTGTTTTACCTAGTAGGAACAATAAACAAAAATTGCATCTTCAAAATTAATTTATTATCGATCTAAAACTAAACGCAATTGTAATCCAATAAAGTTTGACTGATAAAGAAAAAAGGAAGTTGTAGAATCGATCCGTTTCAATAGCATGGACTTTGAACTTATACATTCTAATTTTGGCACCAGTAAGCTGAATAAACAAGAATCTATAATTACCAATTTAGACAAAAAATGTAAAGTATTTGTATGTAAAACATGTGTTCCAATTTTCGTAAATGTAAAATTATTTATTTCTATTTATTATCGAAATAATAATATACCGTTATTTTTTTTTTCAGATAACACAACAAAACAATTAGTAACGTTGTATAAACGTTATCAATAACGTATTTTTATCTTCATACCCGACAAAAACTGCTATGGGAATTCTTTATGAAAATAACAATAATGTAATATACTATATAAATAATTACGAGTATGAAATTTGTCAACTAAGGGATTAAAATAATTCTCTTTTTTAAAGGGCGGTTTTTCGATAAGATGTCAGATTTAAGATATCCAATTTTTTACTGCAAGTAAACCTTATAACATACCTTGTAGAATACAGATAATTTTTTCGATCCCCTGTCAAATTTTTGTCATGTGTGATACATCTTATTAGTATGAAGGTATTGATATTTTTAAATCCTATAAATTTTTTTAAATTCCATTTTAGAGCATGGATTGAATACAATGTCCATAATAATACGAATTGCAAATCAGGCAACATTAAGAGTTTTTTAATGTGTTTATTCAAAGGCATTCAAAAATTCCGTTTGTAAATTAGTTCAGTACTGCATAAATTTTGTTCATTATCATTGTTTGGTATCTATTGTTCTGCTTATATAAGATGTAATCTGAATTGAAAAATGGTTATATCAGATAGATAAATTAATTATTACAGCCCTCAAAACAAATATGATTAAAATATTTCATTTTTGAGGTTGAATCAAATAATATAAACATAAATTATTATTTTTAATGTAGCAAGCTCATAATATTCCATTTGAAAAACTAAGAAAAAGTGATCCAGAATTTTGGTTGTCCCTGTATGAGAAAAGAGTCTTTCGGTAAAATTATGAATAGGAAATGACAATATAATATTTTCGAAGATATTTGGTAGAAACATTTTCTTATTCCAAATTATTAATTTTAATATATTTGGTGCTGTGACATACATCCCAACATAAATTTCGAAACATATGGTATAAACTATAAAACCCTATATTTTTGAGAAATATTCTTTCAAAGGAATTCAACTGAGTAAAAATATTTATTTAAAAAGCGTAACTTTAATAAATAACACATTTATTGCACACCCTGAATTATAGTAGTTATTTTTGATACCTAGCTTTATTGCATTCTACAACTAAAGATAGCGTCCACCCACGCACCGTTTATACACCCTGTATATATATTTTTTAATTATAATATCCTGAATTTCGGAAGCGTTTTCGGACAAATGTTTATTATGCAAAAAATATTTGCCACCTCTAAAATTTTGGCGGTATAGTTACGAAACACCATGTATATTTAATTTAGTAGTATAGTGAATAAATTTGTAGTATTTTGTATGCTTTCAAAAATGTTCTAAAATCTCCTGAAACACCATTAGATAAATATTTTTCGCAATAAATGATAGTCTCCATGATTTTTTTTTATTTCGCCATTTGCCAAATCAAAAGTCTCCATGATAAAATTGATAACAAATATCTGGTAACTTATCAGCTTGACAAATTAAGGTTTTAATTTAATTTGTGTTTTATTTATAAACGGATAAAAAACAATTATAAATCGACAATAAAAACAATGAAATCTTATTTATCAAATCAAATAAATGATGCCATTTATTTTTTAATTAAATAAAATTCGGAAAATAAAACAATTTAATAGATATAATTTTATATTAAGTAAGGAAATAAATTATGGTGTAAACATCAAAATATTATTATTTAAATTAGCAGCAGTAAGAAGGTGGTTTTTATAGGACCACTCATTATTCTTATAAAGTTTAGTCACCAAGAGTATTTGATGAGATTTATATAATATATAAATCTATATAATACTACATTTAGGAGTACAAAAAGAAATAATTTCCACAATAATATGTGATACACTTAAAAGAGTTTTAATTTTTATCTTTAACACCCTGTATCTTAAAAACTAGCCATAGGAAAGTGTGTATTGGAAATTTATGAATTTTACAAATATGCTTTATTTTTAATTTCCTAGTAATGCAGAACTTTTCTGAAATGTAAGATAACTTTTCCTTTTTGTATACAACTTTTTGGTACACACTGTAAAAAATTGTTCTAAGTTTAGTATATGTATAACAAGAAGACTATTATTTAGGTTATGTATAACTAAAACAAGATTCAAACCTCACATCAAACATAAGTTAATCAATATATAACTGGATCCCTAAGAAAAAAATCTTAATTGTCGTCGTTTGGCTATTTTACAGAACTCGCCTTTGAACTGTGATTTTTGAAGCTTATTCAAACTTTTACAAAAAATAAGTAGATTCAAAGGTCAAATCATTGAGATAATAATGTGTAGATAATCAATAATTGACTATTGCTTATACAAATAAGGAATCAATTTAGAAAAAAAATGTAGCATTCGTTTTTTAATTAATATTAATTAATTTGTCTACTATAATTTAATACGTAACATATTTTAGAATCACAATAATCTCCTTGTCATACATACTTGTTAGCATAAAATAGTCATAAAAAAATATGTATTTTGTACTTACCCACATAGGATCAGGATGTTCTGATAACTCTGTAATCTGCCTATTTATGACTTCCTTATCTTTGTCAAAGTTCCTTTCTAAAAATACGAATTCTGAGCATTTCCAAGCCCATCCCAACACAGGTAAATATTGTATAGCTTTTTTAGCATAGGCTTTGCAGTTCTAAAAAAATTACCACCAATGTAGCAGCACTTAAAAGCTTACAACTTTTAATTATAATAATAAAACATTCTCAAATTAAAATAATTATTTTTGAATGTTTTTAGAATCTAATACTGCAGAATTAAAATGAATTTTAAATTCGTAGTGATTAGATGGGATAGATATAGGATGGAAAAAGAGGTCAAGTATGTAAGCCTAATTCTTGGGAACAAACTTCTCTAGAATACATACACATGAGGAGGAAGTAGTAAATAAGGGCACAAAAGCAACAATGGCATGTAAGAACATTGCTGGTAAAAGAGGGGCATGTATACATGAATTTGGATAATAAATTACAATGGTTAAAGATAATGTAAACATTTGTTTTGAATAAACATGAAAAACAATTTAAAGTAACAGATGTTACTTATAAATGAATATTTAAATTCAATAAAATAGGAAAACAATTTAGTGGTAAAACATTTAAAATAGGATTTAATTTATTATTTTTACTAGATAACTAAAAGTTGTTTTCTTTGTCATTAAAATCAGTGTTTTAATTTTACTTTTTATAAGTTAAATATGTATATTTTTGGCTTTGATATTGAATTAGGATTTCTTCGGTGAATCCGGATCATAAATCCTTTTTTATTTAAGTATTTTTTTTTTTAATAAATAATATTTAAGTTTTAATTTGGTTACAAGGTAATCAATGTTATTATTCACAAATAAATATATGAAGATTAAGTACATTGTTTTTTTAGCTAAGTATGTTTCATTTTAAAATGTAATAAATAATTTACATTTAATAAAATATTAAACAATTAATACTAAAATTCAAACAAAGTTTAATTATTTGCAAATTAAGTAAATAATTGTTATTCTCAATATTTAGATAAGAAATTAATATTTCCTTATCAAATCTTTATAAGATGTAAAATATCATTGACTATATTGATTAATCCAATTTATGCACATATAGAATTTATGATACATTGTAGATTAACAATTAAATTTTATTTGTCTAGTTAATAAAATATAGATTAAACTAAAGATAAGTAGCTACTTTAAATTTTATATAAAAGTGTAGTTATACACTATTTTCAAGTGTATCTCAACTGCAATGGATAAAAATTGTAATAGATTATGTAGCTATCGAAAATATATAATTATTATATACCTATAATAATATCAGACCCATTTCTAATTCCTATTAATTTGAGTTTAATTTTTTATTAATTTGTCTGTTACTTACTCCTAAAAGCTGGACTCTTTCTGCTATCATCCATCCTACAAGCCAGTCTATTTCATATGTGTGATTCATAATGCAATAAGCATGCTCTTTTCCAAAGTGTTTATCAAATATTTCTCTATCTATATAAATGTATACTATTGTGTTTGACCACCAGTCACCCAGGCTGACCAATTCTAAAAAAGAAAGAAATAATAATTTACAATTCAGGGCATATACTTTGGCATATATAAAACCTGATAAAATATTAAAATGTTCTGCAAAATTGTATTAAAACCAGAAATAGTCCAGATAGAAAGTTTTCTGTATTTTTTTTTTTAATATTAAAACATGTTATATTAACTTTGTTAAACATTGTCAATAGGGAAACAAGGAAATTTTAGAGAAGCCATAGATTATATTTTTATTTATTTCAATAGAGGTATATATTATAATCCAAGAATTAGAACATTTTGTCTCCTGAAACTTGGAGCATCGAGCTTAAAATACTCACAATGGCTATGTCTTGTGAACTAAATATGGTTAAGATAAAAATGAGTGGGATGATCTCATCATCTTCCACATCTTTTGTGGCTGAACTAAATATGATATTAGAAAATGATTAAAACTATTTCTAGGATACAAAGGGGGAACTTAAATGAAAAAATTCAGAACTCACCCCCCTTACAGGACCTACCTCAACAAAATAGCAACACCCTTCTTGTTATACATCACTTTTCAAGGATACAAGTTATTAAACCATGTACTGGGTGTTACAATAGTACAATAATTAAAAACCTATTTAAAAACAAGATACCTATTTCTCATTAGGTTTTACTTTTCTGATATTATCTTTAGTTCAAGAGAAAAACTTAATAATTTTAAATATACCCCCATTTTCTATTAAAGCAAATATGCAATTATTAAAAAAAAAATGTTGGTTTTTCATATTTTGTAGATTGTATATTTTATATAAAATTCTTAAATCACCAAATTAACAGTGATTTCTTGATTCATTAGAAAAACATTGTCGAGTCAATATTGTGTTGAAAAAAGAATAATAATATCACCTTACTTTGAAATAGTAACTTTTCAATTATTAACATTTTACAAAATTTCATTAAATAGGCTAACAAAAAATATAGTAAGTCTTACTTACGTGCATAAATTGTATAACACAAATACCAATTTATTTTCCTATATAACCATTTATTGAATGGTCTAATTGTTAAATAAAATATGCATTGCACTACATTCACAATAACTCCCGAAGTAAAAAAGGTAATTGCCAGGCATAAATGAATTAATCTTGAACGCTTTAATACTTCAATGTCCAGAGCCATTTTTGCAAAAAATGGAATAACTGTAAAAAATAAGTAACAATATTAAATAAATAAACAGTATTAAATGATAATAATATAAACTCACAATTACTATGGAAGTACTTAAAAAATTGTTGAAACACTACATGTATCTATCAAGAATAAACATTATACTGAGACGTTTAATGAACACTAACCTTTTGTTTATCACTTATCAATGAATTTAAATGCTACGATTTCGATACACAATGACAATTTACTATTTTTGGTTTTGAAATTCAAAATATTTAACCTGACTACTCGACGTTCCTAATTTATTTCCGTTACGAATAGGTGGACGTAATTAGGTTTTGATAAGCATTTTAAAAATTTAATCAATTAAAAAAACAATTATGTCATCAAAAGTTTGATTTTTTAATGTAATTACAATTTATTTTGCGGTATGAATGAGAATCTAAACGTCACAACATCATGAATCATAAAACGAGATTGCTGAAAGTGACAAATGACAGTGACATTTGTGACTTTCGAAACTTACGTTTTGTTGAGACTTGGCGACGAAATGTGTTTAGTTGATTCATTGTTGTGTATAATATGTTGCCTAAATTTAAAGAATATAGAAATAAAATATTGTTATTGAAAGTATTCCGCAAATTCAATTTTTAAGATCCAAAAACAGTCTATTAATAAATAATTTAAATATATAGTGTTTAAAACTCGACTACGTATAATTTAATTTCATAGCATTTAAATCTTCAATTAAAAAAAGTAATTTTTTGTTCACTATTACACTCATTAATGCATTAAGCTTAAGTGCTATGTGAGGAGATTATGTGTAATTAAAATAATGAAAAATGCATACTGATGAGACGACTTTTCTTCGACATTATCATTTCAGGTCGTATTCATTTTGATAGCGATTATTTAACTCGGTGAAAGTGTTGCCGGTACTTTTGCATAAACGCATAAGCGTACTACCAATTTTAATAAGTAAGTAGGTATATAATTATAGACTATATAATACATTTTTAGCTTTGGCTTTTTGGGTCTATATTATATTCCTCTGCTTGGGAACCATTTGACAATCTTTTTTATTCTATAACAAACAGGGCATATCTACGCATATCTAGAGCTTTGCATCCGAATATATAATGTAGTATGAAGTTTACATGTGCTGGAATCATTGTGTGTAACCTCATCACATGAGGATTCTTCAGCAAGAAGTGTACCGTTAGTAATCCCATAATGACAGGTGTCTGGGGCCTTATGAACTATTGTACTTTAGTAGCCATGAGTGGGTTTGGTCTATTTAGCAACAGCTTACTGACTCTGCGTCTGCTTATCTGGCATCTGTCCAGTAAGTTTGATGATTAGTGGTTATTCACCTGTTCACTGCCATATTAGCAGAGGTTTTGTTTATCCCAAATATAGGTTCGGGCCCTGAGCATAATAGTTCTAATCTCTCTTTGACTAGCTCTTCAGCTTTTTCATTTCCTTAAAAACGTTTATATTCTGGTACTCATGCTAGATTTATCTTATTGCGCGTTACGAGATCATTAAATATACCAAAGCAGTTTCAGACCAAGCTCGGCTTGATTCTGTTTGAAAAAATTAAGATAATTTGTTTTTTGTACTTCACTTTGCTTACACGAAATTCGATTACATTTATTTCAGCTTAAAATACAGTCATGTTTTCTCTATGCTCTATGCTTTCTCTACCTTGTTTCAGTTGCAGAAAAAGTCTATTAGCTTGTGATCATATTTATGTTTTATATTCTTCAGTTGGTTCCAGTTTTTGGAGATATCTAGCCATGGGTGCTTCGTGATTCTGCCTGCATGTACTTATTCTGGTCTTATCCATTTATGACTAGGTCAAGAGGTGAGAAGAGGGTATTGAGGGGTGTTTTTTGATTTACTTTTTGCTTCCAACTAACATGAAATCACTTCGAAATTAATCGGTCATTGTGACCCGGAGAGTTTGGGTTTAACGATCATTATTAGGACATTAAAATTCTTTTGAATATTCTCAAAAAAAAATTTCTCCTAAAATAGTACAATAATAATGATCAGTTTTTCTTTCGACCTTTTAATTTTGAAATAAAATAACTCTGTACTACCATATGGATAATATTTACATTGTTTCTAATGTCTACTGTAAGTAACCTTTTTTTTAATGCTAAATATCGATCTATTGTTATTATTTCGTACTGAAGGCCTGAAGATGGCTATATAGGCCGAAACTAGTCACGACATTTAATTTAATAAATATATTGTGGTATTTATGCTAAGCTTTGTTCTAAATTTAAAAAGGGAATTGATTTATTGCTGGAATGATAAACATTCTTATTTAGTTTTATCTTTAAACGATATTTAAAATTCGAAATACTTTTTTTATATATAATACTTGAATGCATGTATTGTTTTTTTTATAATAATGGTAGATAAGAACGCTACTGACTTTGTCTTCATCGCAGAAATTCTCCATCAGTTGAGTTATTCAACTGTGGCTGATGTAGAAGACCACCCTTTGTAGTGGGAAAAAATGAGAGTAGGTGAAGTCGCGGCAGTCGTAGAAATTGCGCAATTTTTCAGATTATGCGGTATTTTTGAATTACCACCGAGCATTACCTATTTGATAGTTCTTCGTTGAGCATTATTTTCCTAAAAAAAATTACCAAAAATGCTTGGCCATATTGTCATTATTGTTGTTGCGTGTTTTGTGATCGTCGGAGCTGAAGAAAGTGCGGTAAGTGGTTTGTAATTATTTTTTTTTGCAAAATATACATTTAATTATTTTTAAATAGGAAATAACAAGAATTATTAATGATTATCAAATGTTAATAATAGCGAATTCTTTAAAATGTGTACGAAAAGGCCCTCTTTAATATTTTTGGAAGTTACTGAATAATTGAATATTTAATGTCGTTATTTATACTTTTACAGAATTGTTTTTAATATATTTTTAACATACAAATATATCATAAAATATCAAAAATAAAAAAATTCAGATAATTTGACAGTACTTCCGTTTGTATAAAAAATGCGGTGTTTATTTATGTATCCTATTTATTATTATTCTTATTCTCTAATTTGCTTATACCATTGGACAACTAAAATAAATACAGGGCGTTCCTCATAATACTGACCCATTTAAGAGGCATAGTAGTTTCATATCCTTAATTAATAAGGTTAGGGTGGTTTTCTAAGGGTTGTAAAAGTATAGAAAAATTTCCAAACCATCATTAGAAGAGCACCTATGCTTAGCTATATTCCTTGACGTATCCCAAGGATTTGACATGGCCTGACTTCGGGAAAATGCTCTTTGGCAATTTGTCGACATTCTACAATCATATTTAACGGAAAATTGAGGGAAATCGATGGTCAAAATAGTGTAAAATAAAAATAAATCAACTTAAGTTTATTATAAATGTGTATTTTACTCTTTTGCAAAATTAATAAAAAAGAATAAGAATACACAATAAACAATGATGTTATTCTTTATAATAATTCGGCTAAATACCTAGGGATGAACCTAGATGTGCTCAGCATCATAGCCAAAACTAATTTCAATGAAAATTATTATACATAAGAGCTGAATGTACCAAATTAAAACTAATAGCAAAAAGAAAATATACTGTTTGATGCTGATTACTTAAAATTATACAGGGATATGTTGTATAATTCATAGATGTTCAAATTAAATATAGAGTTTTTGAAAAGCCACCCCAATTTGACTCCTTCAATTTCAGAAATTTCGAAACAGTTCTCATGTACATTTTTTCCCCTCAATCAGCCTTGGATTCCAACCTACCTTTCTATCTTCTGTGTTTCACATAGAGGCACTGCAACCTCACGGGCTTATTGTAGATGCCCTAATACTCCCTATTCATTGAACTTATGCATTCTACCCATACATTCCACCGTCTAAAAGGGTCCCAAACTCTGCGAGTTCAGTCACCCATTCAGTATTTTGAATACTTTTCGCAGCAACTCCGTAGGTTAGTCAATAATGACTGGTAGCAACCCAAAAAGAGTATTAAAATGCCGTTGAAAATAATTTTTGATTTATTGATATATTGACTTGACTTGAGACGTCCAGTACTCTATAATTATTATCTTTTAAAAAATCTTGATTAAAGAGTGACTGTATAAAAGGTGTGTAGATTAACTGTTTTTCTAAAATCGATAAATATTTACCGCACCCTAAAGAATTTCTTTACAGTTTATCGGTCTACATGAGGTTGAGTTCAAAGTAAAAAAAAGGAAAACTGCCTTTTTTGGAAAAAATGATGGCTAGGTTTATTATACAGCATATGTATCGCAAATAGGCGATATAAGTTACAGCACTTGGTACGAAATAGCATAAAAATAAGTGGGGGAGCGGAGGGTAATGGAAACCAGTAAGTAATTGGACCCTAATATTAAGGCTTAACGAGTACTTTACTTAGATTGTTAACGTACTATATACAATCATCTTTGAAGCGTAGAAGGTGTACATAATGATTTTTGTTTTTCGATCAAATCATAGTTAAGTTAGATTGAAAATAAGTGTGATGATCACATCACCTTCCCAAAGATCAATCAGTAGCTATTACAGAATGAACATTCTGTTACTAGAGCTAGAAATTAAATATCTACTTGTAAAATACATAAGAGACAAGTGTTTCAGAATTTTCTTTCAATCTCAAGAGCAGAAATGTTTTTGTGTTGCTCCAAAAAAAAAACAATAAAAACCTACAATCAATTTGTCTCAACTCTTCTAGCGTATTTCCTCTTGAGTAATAGTAAAAGTTTTTTTTTTATTAATTGGGTTAATTTACTATATGTAAATAAGACTTTATATCGTTCATAAAAAAGCTTAAGGAGAATTATTAATATGTAAATAGATCGCGTGTGTTTTTTATTATGACACAATAAATTTGTAAATAATAGACAATTTAAAGTAGAATGTACTCGTACAATAGAAAGGAATAGGTTTCTAAACGAGGCAAGATACATCTCAATTATTCAAATTTCTAAGTATTATACATGTTTGACAAAGTTGAATAAGAATTTCATGTAGGTACTTATTATTTAAAATTCACAAAGGTTGCTGGTGGACATTTAGCCGTATTATTTTTTTAAAAAGGGAATGCAATGCTAGTTAACGTCATCTAACACTACGTTTATAATTTCCGATGAATTTAGTTATATATAAAACAGTTACATTATTTCACATCATTGGTTAGTTTTACTTTTTATTTATGTCTTTAAATGTATATTTCTTACATAATAACGCATAAAATCTATTACTTAAATAATAAAATGTTAATTGTATTTCTGTGGGTTTTTCTCATCACATGTATGTATTTCTCAATAATATGTAGGCTCAGTTCTACAGGATGTTTGGATTTAAAATTATTAATGATGGAATCTGTGCCTATGTAATGTAAATTCATTTTTCAAGAGAAATTAAGAATCTACTACACGTGAAATGTATATTTTGCAGAAAAACAGTAAAAATTTTGTGCCATCTAGGAATATAAATAATGTAATGACACAAATACATCTTATATTTCTTGTACTATAATTATTTTGATTTATTTGTTTCTTTTAGAAGAATTTTACGAACAAATGCGAAATACCTCCATCAGCTCCAAAAAAGGTAGAGGAAGTGATCAACCAATGCCAGGATGAAATTAAATTAGCTATTCTCTCAGGTAAATTGTTACGGTTGATAAGATCAAAATAATAGGAAAATGAGAATTTACATTAATAAAATAATAATATACAATAACAAGGTATTATTAAAGATTATTGTAAAATATTGCAATTTTATTTCGCAGCAATTTGGCAGCAATCATGTTTCAGAAAATTGGCTTTTACAGGGACGGTTTCAAGATAATTCAGTATAGGAAAAGTTATAAGAGAAATCATTTTCGTATTATGAACATATATAATTTTCAAAGTCTCCTGTAATATCGCTATTATACTAAAATGAAAATATTCTACGGTTTTTTGAGTTTTGTATTAAATTAAGGTACCGCTGTATCTAAGTTATTATAGATGTTCAGTCTGGAGCCGATCCTGTGGATAGTTGCACCGATACTATAGTTTTGGTCAATAATTTACCTTTCCCGCAGTTTTAAACATGGTTCACGATTTAAAAACTGAATCCTCCCAGGAAACTTACACAATAGAAGACTTTAAAGAAATATACTACATAATCATTAAGAATCCAATTAAATTTTTTTATTAGTTTAAACACAACAACGTTGGAACCAGAGGACATTCTATCCATTAATTGGAAAATCCTTGTTCATCTCTTAACACTAAAACGTATTTCGTTAATAGCTTTATTTTAATTTTAGAAGCCTTAGAAGCTCTAAACGTCAATTCACATGAAAATCAGCATAATCGAGAGAAGAGAGCTGCATTTACTGAAGATGAAAGAAGAATAGCAGGGGTAAGATTTTTTAAATGATTTTTTCTATAAAAAAAAAAAATTCTTATATGTTTTAAAAAGGTAAACTATATCTTGGATGGGTATACGATGCTCCATAGCCTTAGCAAGTACATTCATTCAAAATCTGGCTCTTACAGCTCCTCTAGTACTATGTGGTCTTTTCACTTTTCCCCAAATAGCCCTAACTATAAAATTTTCATGAGTAAATTTTAAAATATATATTTTTTTTATTGCAGTGCCTACTACAATGTGTTTATAGAAAAATGAAAGCAGTAAGTATTAAAAAAAAATAAAATAAAACAAGAACCAGCATGTCTTTAAATCCTAAATTTTAAAAGAAAAAGTTTCCTTTTTCAGACTTTTTTTCACTATGGTGTTTTAAAAAATATAGCTTTAGTTTTTACTTTAAACGAAATAATTAGAGTAAAAAGTATTTATACCAGTGTTTTGTCGCTAGGAAAAGCTATTAACCTTGACCATATTTCAGTTGTTATTCATTATTGTTAATCTCAAACACTGATTAATTTTTTTTTTTTTTTGTAAAAAATATCTTATTAATAGGTACAATTTACATTATTGTTACTCGATTTTTATAATTCCTAGTTTAAATAACAAAATATCTGCATTAAACTTAATATTAATCGTAACAGAATAGTAAGAAAGGATATAATAGCCATATCGCACGAAGACGAAGACAGTATATGTTTTCTACGACCTACCAACAAAAATCTACAAATTTAAAAAAATATATTAGGTTATTAAGATAAAATAACTAATTAAAAAATAATTTGTTAAATAAAATAAACATAAAAAACAATTGTAAACCAAAGTATTTAAAATTATAGTTAATTCTACAATTGTGGCAAATCATATCCTGCATTTCCTGTATTAATGGAATTAATATCTTTTTGTGAATCATACAGTGGAATAAGTACAAGAAAAAGGATAAACAAAGCTAGAACAAAAAAAAATAAAGGAAGAAAATTATACAACTTATCAACTAACAGTTTTTAAATAAAATAACGCAATATTGTTTATTTTGTTCTTTTTTATTTATTAATTTTGTTATATATTTTATTTTTGCTAGGTTTATTTATGTAACTTGTTATTATAGGTAAACGAATATGGTTTTCCTACTGTAGAAGGTTTGGTGAACCTTTATACTACAGGAATCAAGCAAAAGGAGTACATACTCGCCACAGTACAATCTGTAGAGTTCTGTATTAAGCAAACAAAGAAAGAGTATTTGGTAACACAGGAATCTTTAGCAGAAGGTTAGTTAAAAAAAACAATTTGCAAAATGTATGTACCATAGAATTATTTAGGTAAACTGGAGTGCTGAATAAAGTATTTTTTTGAAGCTAACTTTACTAGAATTCTCTGTATATATGGTGTTTTTTTTTTCATAGGTAATAAACAAAAATATCCACGCAAAAAATACGCAAAACTTAAAAAATAATTATTTGTGGCATACTTTTCTCTATTACTTTCCAACTATTTATAATTATATTTAAGAATTCGTCAATTAAGAGGCCAGTAACTTCGATAATTAAGAAATTTGTCCTCAACATTAAAAACACAACGGATAACTAACTACTAAACAACAAAAGTTTTAAAAATTACATAATTTATTTAAAAATTAATAGGACATTCATTTATATGACCCCTATTTCTCAATATCCACTTTGAGTAGTTAACAATTTAGTAATTGATGATTAAAAATGCCATTATTTTATTTCAGAACACGGCAAAATATGTGACATTGCATACGAGGTGTTTGATTGTGTATCAGAAGAAATTGGAAATTACTGTGGACAGACGCCATAGAAAACTGGAACATTTTGTATTGCATCTAGATATTTATTTATTTAAAATTATTTACCAATTTTATTATTATTAAAAATGTAATTAATAAAACCTAACTAAATTATTTCTTTTTATTTTGCCATTTATTGTCTTACCAAAATAAAAATAAATTGTTATTTATACAGGATGTTTCTATAACAAGGATCCATAGAAAAACTAAAAATAAATAGTTACTTACTAGTATACAGGGTGCGTTTTATTTAAAAATTATTTTTGTCAATTATTTGTATTTAATATTTATTTGTAAAATTTAATAGAATGCCTAATAATTGTTTATTATAACATTAAAATGTGAAAAAATAATTACTATTAATTACCATAGACGTGCGTCAGTTATAGAGGAAAAGTTAAACCTGGCGAAATCGTCATTTTAATATTTTTCAGTTATTAGGGGGTGGGTGGCTCAGTGGTAGAGTCTCTGCCTGTGGATACAAGGGTCCCATGTTCGAGTCCCACGGTTGGCCGGAATTTTTTTATTTAATTTAATTATTTAAAATTAATTCTGATGCCTTGGTAGGATTCCCCACTCGATCATTCACTGTTGGGTTCTAATTAACAGGGCTGTTCATAACGTGGCCCAAGGAAACAGTAACAAGGCTTGTCTGAAGGGATCTAGGAGTATTAGAGTACTAATACTCCATAACCTACATAGAATACAAGGCTAATGACCTTAGAATTTAGTTCCATTTTTCTTAAAAAAGGAATTAAAACTCGAAAGACGCTAAACTGGTGGTTGCAACCTTATCTGGGCTGAGGCTACATTTTGAACAGAAACCGAAATACAATGACAAGTATTGAGACGTTGAATTTTCAGGTTTATGAAACATTAGCATTACTTAAGCTAAACCACCAGCCATGTAAAAATATTTAGCCCTTTACCCCTTAAGAATATCCATATTTGGCCCATTTACCCTAGCCATATCAAAATATGTGGTCAATCCCTTTACCACGTAAACATATTTGGGCCTTTGTTCACTTGAGTCTTCCATTGTAAAAATATTTAGAACTTTTGCTCCTGAAGCCTGCCCATGTAAAAATAGTATTTCGGCCTGTTAACTAACTTTTTAATTCAAATACAAATTCCATTCTGGAGTTATCATCGTTATCATCATGTAGGTTATTCAAAAAGTCACTATCACAGCTGTTTTGAAGAAACCAAAAAAAGTCCAATTTCAACATAATCGCTTAAACTTGCAAAATAAGAAGTAGAGTTCAGATACCTAGTGGTTAATTATCTATAAGATTTACTATTTTTAAAAACAATTATGGGAATATTGTTTTCGATACGCTTGTTAACCCCATCATTACCAATCTTTTAAAATGTAAACAAACTCGCAGCCTGGACCAAACTAACATGGAAATACATAAATATTATATCTTCGTATACAGGGTGGTACTTATTTAAAAAAATATAGTACCCTTGCTTATATTTGGCTCTTCAATGGGACAAACACTCAGAGGATGTCTTAGAAGATATGGACAATCACCCGGATTCAGATAAAACACAAAAACACTGCTGAAAATCTTTTTTTGTAATTATTAAGTGTTTGGTGAAATTTAATAATTTTTAGTAATGAATACTAGATATGTATTCTATCTATTTGAATTAACTCCACTCATACTGAAGCTCTAGACTTTGTACCTCACCATTTCTTAATATTCTTGATGAATTCAAGAATGTATGATGGATACTTTCACGATTTCTTCAGGTTTCGGATATTGTGAATAGGAGTTTCGTCCTCCTCTTCACATAAGATAAGGATTGTAACTAGTTTTTTATATACATTAAATTTGTAAATAAATACAGAAGCTTTAAAAGAATAAAAAAATGTTTTTCATTATCTTTATATCCGTAAAATAGCTCGTCCTACACTAGGTAGGGTTGCCATAATTTGTCCAGCTTCTATCGGAACTTAAAAATAAGTTTTTGAGAAATTCAAATTTGTAAAAAAAAAGATTACTGCATGAAACATATATACACATATCTTATTATTATAATATAACATAATATACATAATATACACCAACATAATTAAGAAGTACTTGAACTAACTTGACTTTTAATAATATTTTTCAGAAGATTTTGCTTATCTTAAAACTTCTTTTTAATTTTTAATGTATTTATAAAATTCCGTGCATGTCAGTTTAAAGTTATATGTATTGGCATTGCAAAATGGCCAATAGTTTCTAGCACCAATTGGTTCCTCTCGTCTCGAAAGAATAATATAGTATAAAAAATATTGACACTTTTTGAGAAGTTCAAATTTTTTATCTAAATTCTCGGGTTCTTTAGAATTGGGACTTTTTGCAGTCTAGTCGGGACATGAAGGTCAAAACGGTGACAGTCCAAATATATCAGGACGAATGGCAACCCTAATAGTAGGAAACGAAGTGAATTCTGCTTTCATGTTGGGTACTTTTCTTCACAATTATTTTTGTACTTTTTGAGCATTATTTGTATATACATATACATTCCATTTGGCAAACCTCACTAAAACCAGGACGAAAATTTTAAATTTGGCCTCTGCAGATTCGAGTCCCTCTCTCTAATTGTTTCTAGTGTTAGTTTATATACATATATGGTGCGCCTGCTGATCTACAGAAGTATTGAATGTTGCCTAAGCAGTAGATGAATACGTTATTATTATTATTTGAATAAATATTTCGATTTTTTACCATCGAAATAGAAAAAGCTTTCCTATATATACAACGACTTTTCTAATTTAAATTCGAATCACTCTGTATATAAATGTTTATAAACAAAGATTATCATTAGCTAATGTGGCAGCTGCTGTCTTTCAACGGAGAAATATCGACCTCCGTCTAAGATCTGATAAACAAATTGTTTAATTATTCATTCTTTATTCCATTGTATGTTTTTTACAAAGACAATTAGAACTTGGCAAGGTAATGGGTATATTTTGGAAAATAATGAAAAAAAATATTAAAATTGTAATAGCATTCAGTGAATTTAATGTACGGGAAAATCGTTAATGTTAATTGTGACCAAGGGTTTATGTTGAATTAGGAATTAATATTTTTTCTGATTTTTTTTTGATTATGCAAAAGATACACTTGCGTTGTCATTGAAATTATGTAAAAAGAAATAGTTCCTATGAGCATGGTTCCGCAAATCAATTTAAAAAATATGTTCTTTTCAAAATAACAAATTAATTATTTATGATACAAATGTGTGAAGACTTGTTAGTATTTGAAGAAAACTTTAATACCTAAAACACTGAAAGTTTTTTACTTACATCTGTACTGAGTGAACGTTTTTTTATTTTTTATTAAACAAATCGCATCAACCTAAAAGGTTAGTAGCAGTGTATACAGCATATTGTATATTTACAATGTAAGTTGCTTTTAAGTATGAAATAATATTTTTGAACGTACAATTCAGACCAAGAGCTTGATCGAGAGTCTTAGAAATATTGTGGTTGTTTCTTTCTTGAATAAATTGGGGACATTCAGTCATAAAGTATTTTATCGTTAGATTCACATTTCAATATTCATAAATTGGTTCTGATGACCATGTTTTAGTCGCGTATGATCGAGTCTTAGACGCGTTATAGTAACTTCGGTTTTTCGATTAGAAGGTAACTTTAGCCACGGTTTCACAAACGGTTTCACTACACGCAACTTATCCGTCACTATACACATTTACTTTTATAAAGTTTTTAATGTCATAGAACAAACAGCATTTCTCGGATCTCTATTGAATCTGTCGAATTTACTGCTTCACGAGCGTTTCTATCAGCTTCTTCATTTCCATATATTCCTATATGTGATGGAATCCAAATAAAAACTATATGCTCGTTCTTATCTTGAGCTTCATGTAATTCTCGTTTAATTCTAATTGCCAGAGAGTTGTTTGGATATATCTGCTGCAGTGTATAGAGAGCTAAGGGAATAAGTTACTAAGAAGGTATCCTCGAGGTTGGAAGAATTGACCAGTAATAGAGCACAGTATATAGCATATAATTCTGCTGTATCAATACTGCTCGAATATGGAAAAAGTATATGAATCCTAATTCAAGCTGAATTAGGGAGACCTGTATCCTTAATTGGAAATGACCAGATTTATAATGTTAGGAGCAGCTATATCTGCAGAAATTCAAGAAGAGAAGGAGATCTGAGCTCTTTTAGTTATTGCAGCTGAAACAACTAAATAACTAATTACCTAACAAGTTGGATCCCACAATTGCCGCTCTTACTCCATCATTTGATTTAGATGCATCTGTATACATTTCTGTATAGCCTGCATATTTTTCTTTAAGTCTTTGCAGGTTTTGGATTATTATTTGTCTGTTTGTTGTATGTTTATCAAAGGAGGTCAAAGAGGTAATCATTTTTGGGGTTTTCAAGGTTCGAGGTGGTGAAGATTCAAAAGTGAGAGGAAAACAAGGGAGAAAGGATATATTAAGCAAGTTAGGATCCATGGTTACTCTATAGTAAAAAGGTTTTGCCATGCGTGGTTTGTTATTAACTAACTTTGTTAACCCCCAATATTTTGGGAAAACACCTATTCTACGACGCTACTGATATGATATAAATCGCATAAAGTAAACGTTACCCGCCTTTAATAACTAGTTGAAAGAGAGGCATAACTGGAAATATTTCTATTACCAAAGTGCAGTTAACAACTCATTTCATCTCAATAAATTTTCTCATACACACGCGCATTTCCTCAATAATCCTCAAGCCAACTATAAAAATGTTAAACGGTTGATTGAAACCCACAAGAATTTGTCTTTTTCTATCAGATTTCCCATAACCATTTCTGACTGTGTAACTACCGGCACTCAAAGTGAAAAATCGTCTCTAGAATCGCTAAATAATTCGCTTCTAACAATGAATCGATGTTTTTAAGATAGTGTTCCGAATAACGAAACTTCCTGTCTCTTAACAAGGTTAAAATCATAAATTCGACGGAATTGTTAACAAGAGATCTTTATCCCTAAATAGGTATCATCCACTTATCAGATTCTTTTATGTTTCAGACGATGATATATTGAACATTTTGTATTATGCTTTTGGAGGAAACGTTTTTACCAGTTGCTGCCAAAAACGTTTCTTAATTACTTATAAATGTTATAAGTAATATTGATTGGTAAACGTTATAGTCATACTGCGGTTTTGTTGAAGCATCAATTTTAGTAATAATGATAATCTTAACACAGATTAAATAAAGCAGTTAAAGTATAACAAAGAAACTCACCTTTGGATGTAAAAAGCGATAATTACCATTTTAAACCATGTAACAATTAATTGATGAATGATAATGCTTTTTGTATTAATTGATAAAAACTATAAAATCAGCTAGTTAGATTGAAATCACTTATTACAAGCTTCCTTCTATAAACTGGAAGTACGCAAATGAATTAAATAATTACCTAGTTTATGAGAAACCAAAAACTGTTTCATTAAATAGTTATTTCATTAGAGTCGTTAATTTTAATCTTTGTATCTAGTTTTTTCTGTCGTAGGCGTGTGTAAGGGAGGGCCACGACCACGTTTTATTTTTATACTAAACTGTTTGTATGGGTCACATTATTTGCAATATGACACCATCGCCAGTTTTTTCAAATAATGACAACACCCTTTTTGATAGTACCAATTAAAAGAGTACATGTGACCAGTTGAAATTTAGTCTATCGTGAAAGCCTGAGAGAATAATTACACAATATGTGTTGTGTGCTTATCTCTACAGAAAATAATAAAATATCACAAAATTCGGGGTCCACACACGAAAAATAAAACTGGCGTTTCCTACTTGTGTGAAAAATGTAATTTTCCACACGAGTGAGAAATATTATTAAAGACTTACCTACTTATAATTTTATTCTGAACCATTATGTTCAAAATAGTACAGAATAAATAGCGGAAATATTAACTGTAAATGTTATATTAAGATAAATAAAATGTACCTATTTAAAATAAATAAATAAGTCGATTTTTTCAAAATAAAAAAGATTGCTTTTATCGGGGTCGCAAAATCCGAAGTTGAGCACAATCAAGTATGGGCATTTTCTGCAACGGCTTTTTTAAGATGGGGGGGGGGACAAGTGAGGTTGAAATACTGAAAAAACTCAGTAAAAAAAATGACATTAACTTGAAATTTTTAGTAAAAAACATGCTCTATAAAAAGAAAAAGCCCTCTGAATAAAAATAGGGGGTTAAAATTCAAAAATCATAAATCAAAAATGAAAATCGATATCAACATGAAATTATAATTAAAAATCAAGCTCCACAAGAGAATGAAGCCTATTGATTCTAAAAAAAAATATAAATAAAAATAATGGGGGCATAAGGGGGGTTGAAATATTGAAAACATCAGAAACAAAAACGATATGAAATTGAGAACTTAAGGAAAAATCAAGCATTATAATGGTATGAATCCTATTGATTCGGAAAACCTAAATACAAATGAGGGGTTAAGGGGGGTTGAAATATTTACCGAACATCTCAACTCAAGCTCTGGTAAGGGGACAAAAACTATTGATTTAAAAAAAAATAAAAACAATAGGGGGTGTTAAATGGGACTGAAATAAAAAAAGTAGAAATCAAACACTAAAATTGAGGGATAAGCGGGGTTGAAATATTAAAAAAAAATCCTAAATTAGAACAAAAAAAAGATATCAAATTGAAATCTTCAGAAAAAGTAGATCAAGCGTATTGATTGAAGGTGGGAGGTTCACGGGGCTCTGTTAAACTATAGGTCTCTTCGGCTTGTTCAAAAATACATTGAGAACTATCAGAGAACTACAGTTTGTTCGCTATACTTACGTAGGTTTCGGATTAAAAATTTTATGAGTATTTCCAGGTAAGTACCCGAAAGTTTGACCTGTTCTTTGGGGAAATATCAACTGGTTAAATGAAATGAAAAATAATGTACAACTCTTTAATTAAATAATAATGGAGAATCTTTTGTATAATTGAGAGCAGAATTAAACTTCTTCATTAATTGAGTCTAATGTGGCTATTATAAACCTAATAATAATTTTATATTACACTTCACACAGAAAATATGGTCTATGTATAATAAGAGGGTTATTTAGCCCAAATAAAATATTTTCTAACATAAAAATTTGTTCCATGTAGAGAATTTCAAATCAAAAATAAAAAAAATTGAACTTGCCAACAAAAATGAAAATCAGTCATTATCATCCAAAATATCATAATCGTCATCATCATCACTGTCATCACCATTAATTGTTATTATGGTTGGACTTATTTCGTTTATTTTATTTTCACGAGTCCACCAATCTTCTATTAGTTTCTCGCTATTGGATATACAGTTCCGCCACACTTCTGGACTTGCAATTGAAAGTGCTTTTCGCCAAGTTTCCCGAACTGCGTCGTCACTATAACCATTAGGCCCAATATGGTTGTCATAATATTGTTTTGCTATTCCCCATATATATTCAAAGGGATTAAACTGGCAATGATACGGTGGCAGACGTAAAACTTGATGACCGTAATTTTCAATAATCTGATCCACAACAAAGGTTTTTGGTTTTGCATGTTTATTTGCCAAGCGTAATAATTCTGATTTTAATATATATTGAGGAAATGGTATATGTTCCTTTGTCAACCATTCTTTAATTTTATCAAAAGTCCAAGAATTCGTTGAACTTTTGTTTAATACTTCAGAATGGTAAGGTGCATTGTCTAAAATAATTACGCTGAGCTCACTTAAACCTTGTAGAAGTTTTTCATGCAACCATTTTACAAACATTTCTGTGTTCATATTATCGTGATAGTCACTGGATTTTGATTTAGATGAAAATATTAAATCAGCACCTTCTATAAAACCCGATTTCCCTCCTGCATGTAAAATTATGTGTCTTTTCCCTTCTCCATCGGTATGTTTGATGGACTTTACGTTATCATCTTGCCATATTCTCTTGGTTGCACCCCTAGAAAATATCCATATGTTTCGTCTAAATATATAAAATTCGTCTCTTCTTCTTTAAATTTAGAATATTTTCTTAGAAAGTTAATTCTCTTGTGCACGACAGAACTTCTTTCACAAAGGACCTTTCTGTTATCCTCCTTTTGAAATTTGAAACCCAAGTTATGTATCACTTGCCATAGACTTGTTCTGCCAATGTCGTCAAATTTTCTATCTATTAATTCCGAGAGAATTGTATTTAAGGTCACATGTTCCTTGTTGGCCCTCATTCGATAAATGGTATCACTAATTTCAAATTTCTTTCCATCTGGAATATCTTTCGTTTTCAATGATTGGCGAGTTTTGCGGTGATCTTCTTTCGGCAGTTCACTATTGTGATTTTGTAATACTCCTCTTAATTTGGTTTCACTAATTCCTAGAGCATCGCATACGCGTTGTTGTACAGACATTAACGATTTTAAAGGACCGTCATTTTCTTTTTCATCCGTAAAATACTTATGTACACTACAAATTAGACTATCTCTAGAATAATCTAGAATAATCAATTCAACTGCAATATTTGTAACAAATTTAGTACCTACCCTAATGTTATTTTAATTTAAATCTGACCATTAGGGCAATTTTACCTAATTTCTTGGGAAGGGGTTATTGGAACTGGTTGTCAATGACTAATTTGCATAATTTTGTTAATCCGAAACCCGCGTAAGTATAGCGAATAGACTATACGTCTTCAGCAAAGTATTACCATCTTCTACGAAGCAAGAATGAACGATACATGTCTAAATTTGTCTTTCAAAAATGTGTACCAAAGATGGTCACTGGCTATCCCTTACCATTTGATATTATTATGTCTATGGCAAACTTTAGTTGATTTACAATCAAATCCTAGTTGATGACTGTATTAGTTGAAATAGATTATTTTCACAAAATTATGTTGTAAAATTATATAAAGTTATACCAAAAAATGTCAAAAGCAAATTTTTTGAATAACAGTTCCAAACAACCAATTCGGGGCTGGATGTGTATACATATTAATAGATTGAAAATTAATTGTCAAATTAAATATAATTTTTTTTATTATATTATTTGCGTTGGAATGTGTAGAATTCCTGTACATTCATTTACAACATTAAAAGTAACTATGTTTATGAATTAAAAATTAATTATCAATGAAATAATTGAATACTTTAATGCCCGGACTATACAATTAAGATCTGTACGTTAAATATTTCCCGCAGTTATTAAAAAAAAAATGAAGAATGAAGTGACCAATCTGTGAGGTCCTGTATTCAGCAGACCATTGAGAAAATTGCAAGGCTATCTCGGATCTTCACGCAAGGAAGATTTTCCTCGCATGTAAATCATTTGCGTTGTTGAAGGTTTTCATTGCGTCCGGGACGATGATTCATTTGGTCGACTGGATCGATGGGTCTTGAAGATGAAACAAAAAAAAAATGTGTTAAAACCCCACTTTGGGAATTATGAATATAAATGATTTTTATTTATTTTTTCGTTTAGTATAGGTTTTGGAGTGACGGTTGTTTGTGAAAATATGTTGTTCGAAAAAGTGAGTGGGTTATTTAATTTCATTTTTGGATTACAGTGCATTTTTCGTAATAGTGATGAAAGACCAGTGGTTTATTGATGCATTTAAATTTAATTTAAAATTTTCCTATGTTAAAGGGCTATTATTGTTAATAATTATTAATAACAATACATTCAATATGGTGCAAATAAATTCATTATTTTGTAACTCGTTGACTTCTAAATAACTCAATTTTTATTTTCAAACGTTCGTTCTGTCATATATGTTTAAATGATTCACGTTTTTACATTGTAAAACATTTTTAATTAAATTTAATATTATTGTACATCAAATAGAACCAAATTTAAAGCAAATGCTCAAATTAACAACCCTCAGCTATAACACAATGAGATAAAGCATAATGGCCTAATGTATTTGACCCATATTAATTCATAATGCCCACTATATCAATTCAATCCCTTAGTTCTTAACAGAGTGCGTTCTATAGCTTCTTGGATCAACCTTTGATTGTCCAAAAAGTACCTGTCTTTTGTGATAGGGGAGTAGGTATGCAAATCATTAATTTGTTGAAAAATATAGTTTAAAAAAATTTATATTTTAAATATGGATTTAAAGACTGAAATTAGTTAATAGGACAAATTATAATGCCAAACACGATTAGATTATTCGAGCATATATTATTTATAGGCTAAGAAATTTAGTAGTGTTTTAACGTCCATATTTCTAATTTTAAAATAATATACGATCGCATGAGATTCTTTATATTCCTTTTTAACTGTACCATTTATTTTCAATATTTCTAACATTATTTTCTCTTAAATTACTACCTTCTGTATAATATTGAATATAATTTTTTTTCATTCCATTATCTTGTTGACAGCAGTTTAAGTTGTCAAGTCAAAAGTTATTATGTCATTATTTCTTTATTTTATTTACCAGTCATTTGGCTCTACAAAATAGGGTGAGAAAACCTAACAGCATAAGAAAGAGGACGTGGTTTTATCGTTTTACCAAGGGTAATACGAGTATATTAAGATTTTAATACATTATCACATTATTAATAAAAGAATGATATTTTAAAAAATATCCTTTTTTTACAATTGAGTACAATAATATATGAATAGTTTTTTTTGCCATTATAGAGTCCAATATCTTGTAACAAATATCTATGTCTAATAAATTTAAATAATTTGTCCTTGTTAGGGATTTAACACTGCACACATGTCTCTTTATAGGCACTCTATTACAGCTATCATACCTCAAATACCTTAAATTTTAATACTTGTTTTTTAGATAGATGTAGTTTATGTTCATCTTGTTTGGGTATATAAATAATAGTTTATTCTCAGTTCTAGTTTCGCTATATTTCAAGCCACTGTTGTTTTATTGATGCCCTTATAAATCTTGAAATGAAGGAATGTATGTTCATATTTTGCACTTTGCTAAGTCTGGTCGCTTCCAATACATGATTCTGTCAATAATAATTATTACGCATCTACTCCATATAAAGATTTATGGTTTTCAGAAATTCACATGGTTAATATCTGTGATAATAGTTTTTGAAGAAATTAGAGCTGCAGATGACGATTACAATGTTTTACGAACAGATGGATCCTATGATTTTGGTTACGATAACCCAGACAGCTATCATTACGCCCAAGCAAACAGACGTAACGTAGTTAGAGGAGAATTTGGGGGAAGAAATCCGAAAACAGGTAAGTGAAAAAAAATGACAAAACGATTCATTTTAATATTTTAAAATCCTACAGGTGCTATAGACACTACCCATTATACTGCTGGTCCTAGAGGTTACAGACCTAGAGGTAAGAATGTGGTAAGAAAATATGATCTTAATCAAAATGGACCGCGAGCTATAGGCTCTCCAGATGATCCATATTATGATCCCTACGAAGATCCAAGTTACAGCTTTTCATTCAGAACAAGAACTTATAATAGGGATGAAAATGCTAACAGGTAAATTGCTGTTTAGGTCTAGAACGTCGAAGATTAGCCATTATCAAATACATCAGGACTGACATGCGATTGCGCATTAGTAAATCCTTGAAATTTATAACAATTGATTAGAAGTTACAAGATTAGAAAATTATTACACTTATATTATTTTGAAATTTAGATAACTGTAGTTTGCTCTGTATTATAGATTTTATAAAAAGTTTTATTCCTAATAAAACTGGTCTATAACAAAATCAAGTAATCTAGTCATATTCTTCCCTTACAAATGGTTATTTATATTTTAAAATAAATATTTTTATATTTTAAGAATCGGTGATGTTAATGGAAGATACTCCTATATTGACGACGTTGGAGAAAGACACAACGTTGAATTCATAGCTGGAAAAAAGACAGGATTTCACGTAAAAACCCCTTTCCCAGATTCAAATCCTCGAGGTTATGGACCGTTATACTTTAGAGGACGTGGCAAACCTATTCCAAGAGGGCGAACTTCAATACAAAGAGGGTTAGATGGAAGTTATAAGTAAGAAAAATTCATATACTTTGGTAATAATTCAGTTTTTTTCAAAATGTACCTATTTTCAGAATACTTTAATTTTATTTCTAATACCTTTTTATAGATTTGTCTCAGCCGGTCCTGACCAAAGGCGGACGGAAACCAGTGACGCAACGGGTCACGTAAGAGGATCATATACCTACTTGGATGATAAAGGCGTACAGCATTCAGTCCATTACATTGCAGGCCCCGAAACTGGCTACAGAGTCTTAAAAAACGTAAAAGGCCCTCATTTACCTTCTGTCTTCCCATTTCAACACCCAGATATTATTCCACCAGATTTCTATGACAACCCAGAGATTTTCAATACAGCTGCCAGTGATCACGGTCGTGTAAAACCTAGTGCTAAACCTGGATTCAAAGATGAAGACAATGGAATAGACGAAGATGATGATTTTAGCAAGACAAAACCAAGTGGTAGCAGACCTCTTTACATAAATAGAAAACCCCCAATACTTCCTACATCGCCTTTTGATGGAGGCGACTCTGACGATAACACAGATTTTGATGACCTATTTGGAGGAGGAGGAGGAAGGGGAAGTGCAAGTTCAGGAGGAAATCTAGACGATGGAGGCAGTAGAGAGGCAGGTGGTGCAGCAGGCGATGGAGGAAGTACGGGAGGAGCCAGACCAACAGGTTCTGGAGGAAGTAGGGGTTCTGAAGAAGACTCGCATGGGATTTCTAAAGAAGATTCTTCCAAGGACGATGGTTCATATAAACCCCCCAAAAATGGTCAAAATGGTCTCTATATACCTCCAAAACCAAGTAAGAAGCCTCCGGGCGCTTTTTCTGATGAAGACTTTGGTTTCTCAAATAAACAGTCACCGTCAGAAGAAAAAGATGATTTCGATGCGTTTTCAGGTGGCCGACCAAAGCCTGGAAGCAAATCTAAACCTCCTAGCAGTGGAAGTGCAAGTAATGAAGATGTAGACTTTGGAGGGCTCTTTGGTAGCGAAAGCAATAGACCTAGACCTCCATATCGAGGCAGTACTGGGCCCGTAATAACTATAGGAGGTCCAAACAAAAATTGCCCGAAATGTGAAGGTGCTATAGTCACCAATATTGGTGATACTTATTTAGCTGTACCGCCAAGGTCGTCAGTAAGAGCACACGTCCAAGCAATCGATTTGTTGCCCTACAGTTCTAGGTTTCCAGGACCCAGCGATCAGTACAAAGCTGATGTTAGTTTAAATACTGAACAACTTAATGCAGAAAAAGATGAAATTGTTAGTAGAACTGATGATAAAAATGAGACTAAAGTAGGAGATACAAATGCTTTAAAAACAGAACAACTTAAGGCAAGGAAAAATAGCGTTGTCAATAGAAACGATGACAGAAAGGATGTTATTGATGAAGATGGCGATGATGAGAGTCAAACAACAGAAGAAACAACTACAGAAATAGTTCCTACAACTTTTTCTCCAAAAAATACAACCGTTAAATAATAAATTAATTAATTAAAGTAATGGTGTATAATTTAAAATACTTGCGATAGTTGAATATCTTTTAAAGTTATTTAAAAGTAACAAGAATTTAAAAAGTGAGTGTAAAACTGATTAAAACAAATTAAAATGAATGAACTTTTTTCGTTTAGATCTTAGAAATCCTATAATTTAAATGTCTATTTAATATTTGGATACAAAATCATTTAAATTATAGGGAGTATAACAAGTTGTGTTGATATTGATAAGTATTAGATTTTTTTAATCAGATTTGATTAGGTGTCATTTTGTTTGACAACGTCCAGCTTTGTAGTATCTAAAAGAAAATTATAATGTATTGAAACATTTTTTTTTATACACGTATTTTGTAGTTTTAGGATAACAGAATTATTTTGTTCATAAAATGAAGGTATTACACAATTTTAACGAACTTTTTTTTATAAAATTTGTATAATTGTACTGGTTATTTAAATACATATTTATAAAAAATAATTTCTGCATTACTTGTATTTTATTTGACTTTTATTAATAAAAGGCTTATGGACTGTAAGAATTTTAATCCTGGACGGAGGGAGGAAAGAGGTATAGGACATGACCCTGTGGCCCTCTCTTTCTTAACTACACAAAATATGATTTCTTAACAGTGTTGCCATGTCGATCAGAACAGGATTAATAATAAATAGAAATTGTTTTAGCTGTTGAACAAAAGGATCAGGGGCGGCTTGTGACCAAAATTTTGGGGATTCACAGTAGCAGAATATAGATGCCGGTACAGATATACCTTGAACTTAATATTGTAGTGTATGAGGTACTTTTGTTCAAACTATAATGTCTTTTATTTGTTGGCAAGTTTAATACTCTTAAAGAAGACCCATAATTAAATAATTTAGTATCTGAAAAAATTACTATGCTAAAAACATTCAAATATATTATTGGTTCGCCAAATTTATTAAACACAATACCTTCTATTTTTTTTAGGTGGCATAGGTTAACCATCACTCTTTTTTTCCTATTTTGTTTGTGTAATACAAAGTTCCTAAAAAGTAAAGATACAATTTTTAAAAGATATTATTTAGAAACGTACAAACTTATAAATATATTTGTTGCAGCAAAGCAGTCCTCTAAAAAGTGCATTGAACAAATGTAATATATTCGTTCAACTTTTAACATTTCAGTCCATTCAAGTGCCTGTAACCATAAGTTTCTCCTGATTCGTATTTTAAAACACTAATAATAATTTTTTTTTAATATGCATATTTTATTTTCCTTTCTTCTCCTAAAACGACGCTCATGTTCTTCGGTAAGAAATAATATTAACGAGTGAAACCTAACCTCACTTCCTCTTTTATATTTAAAATCACATAAAACACAAGTCTTTTCCTAGTATAAAATAAACCCTACAAATCAAAGTAACTTTTAACACTACCATACTTGAACGAATTTAAGTAAAAACTTAAAAAATTGTCTAAAAATAACTGGAAAAATAAATATAGAGATAGAGATACTAATATATTTCTCTTTCTCTCTCAAGCGTTGGTATCTCTGGGTGTCTGTTCTGGTCGGGTGTTGATATCTCTAGGGTTTCTGTTCTGATCGGGCGTTGGTATCTCTGGGTTTCTGTTCTGATCGGGCGTTGGTATTTCTGGGTTTCTGTTCTGGTCGGACGTTGGTATCTCTAGGGTTTCTGTTCTGGTCGGGCGTTGGTATCTCTGAGTTTCTGTTCTGGTCGGGCGTTGGTATCTCTGGGTTTCTGTTCTGGTCGGGCGTTGGGAGTAATGAGAACATAATTTATTGGTTTTTATATACCGGTTGATATTGAGACTGAAGCCATGTTTATATTTTCAAAATATAAACCGCAAGTTGGCCATTTTGTTTAAGTGCCAATTTTAAATTAGGCTTGGTAGGTATGTTTGTCCCAAATTTTGTCAAAATCACTTATTTATTTAACAAGATATGACCAAATTCTCTTTAGTCTTGTGTCCTCAAAAACATCAACCGTTAATCTATCAAGCTAAGAAAATAAATAATAATAAAAATTATTATGGTATAACTGATAATGAATAATATGAAATTAGCAAAAAATTATTCAAAAAAAAATATCCTTTTAATTAAAAAATATATTTTAGCATTTATAGAGTCTCTAAAAATAAAAATTTCAAACTATTTCGACGGTTTTGAAGTATGACCAAACTGCCCAGAATTTGTTTTATTAATGTATGTCCAAAATATTCTTCAGGCAATCTAAAAATAATTTTATAGCTAATTTATTAATTAATATTGAAAATATCTGCCAAAAAGTTTTTAACGAACAGGAAAAAAGTTTATGGTTTTAAATGAGTGCTTTAAAAAGTCTTGTGTGTAGAGTAGACATCGATATAAGAAGGTTTATCGGCACCTGCTTGCAGATACTGGGCCCCTAGCTCGCAGTATCTGTAATTGGTTGCTGAAAAAACACATGACTTGACTTCAGTATGTAATTTTTTCTGTTTCCCAGCAAAAATAATATTTATAGTAACTGTAATGCGGTCAAAAAATTAATTAGAATAATTTTTGGCATATAACATTTTGCATGAACGTAAACGATATAGTTTTCTCCATTTATTTCAGATGTTACTTCTTATTACGTTAGCTATAAGTGCGGTAATAAGTTATCCAGTCGAATATGGGGGCCATGGTCTTAAGAGATATTAATATATTTCTCTCTAATTAGAATCTTTCATGCGATATCAAGGCGACAAAAAAATTGTTTACTGTCCTCTCTGTACTACTATGCATGACATCCATCAAAATTTGTTATTGTTACGAATATTGAAGCCCTTATTTCAAGTTTTATTAACCTTTTTTTGTATGTTAAAAGATATTGCTATTTAAAGAAATATAACAAAAAAGAAATATTGCATATATTATGAGAACTCATCTCCATATAGGTACAATTAAAACAAACAATTTTTATTAAAAACATTTTTATTCGCCACAATTACTTGAGCAATCCCCAACCTTACACAAACTAATCCATAAACCTAAACCCATACCCCAACATCTAAGTAATTTATTATCTTACAAGAACCTAACATATGGATAATGATAAGCATAATTAGATAAGTAAGGATAATAATAAGGATATTCCAGAAGTTGAAGATCAGTATTAGGAATAAGTCTGTAACCCGGATAACTTGGAATGTACAAATGTTCCAAAGGTTTCTCTAGTTTTTGTCCTCCTGTCAATCCCGTCAACTCTAATTTGATTTGGCCCAATTCTGCTCCTTCCACTTTCAAGGGTTCCCCAGGCGTTAATTTTTCTTGTCCTTGAAGTTCTTGTCCCTTTTGGCCCTTTTGTTCTACAAGAGTAGTCGTTTGTTGAGGTTGGATTTTCAAAAATGGATTGTTTAGTATTGGAATTATTGGAAGTGGTTCTAGCGGTAAAGCCTTGTTTTCTTGAATTGTATAAGCATATTCCTGACCGTTCGATTTAACTTGTACTGAAGATTTTGTTTCTACAGGTAAGATCGAGGCTGACTGGGTGGTGATCAGAAGTGATGCTAAGGTCAATAGGATCTGAAAATAAAATTAAAAATTATGAGGTTTGCTTTGGTTCTGAAATTCAGTACATGTGGCATAGGTTAATGTATAGAGAGATAGGTCTTAGAATTATTCAAAAACTAAACGCTAATTAATTTTTAACTAGGTTGATATTTTTTTCTATATTAATGTTTGTGTACTACAAGCGAACTTTGATTTTGTTTACTAAGTGTAGGTGGCGCTACTTTATATCTTTACTCAAGGAATGCAAGTAAATTTTACGTCTTTTATACGCCTGTCGTAAATATATCGATATCTATATATTTAACGTATTTTTTTTATTTATTTATTTTGTTTTGTTCTAATTCTTGATCGATATTAGGAATATTAAAATTAAATAGTGTGCTACAAAGGTAATACTTATATTGTGAAATGGTTTTTTTACATCCACATGGATATTAGCTTATCTGCGCACAGACTACAAAACGAAAAAGTATGTCATCCCGTTCAAATGAACGAATATATTTCATATCCATTCTAAGTAGGGAGAACACTGCAAAAAAATGAAATCCACCAATCATAGTTCCTATTTTGGACACTCAACTACTATTATTTTTAAAATGTTAAATGAGTGATATTTCTGTCAAACTAAATGTCAGTATATGTGTTGAATATATTATCCATATCCACTCTTGTTGCGCAATCGAATGATCAACTAGTGACAATTTCATATTTTTTATCCCTACTATTTTCGGCAGTCATTTGGTTTAAAATTCGATTACTTTTTTAGTACCAACGTTTTTATCTAAAATGTGAACACTTACAGGCATTAAATTTGACAGTTTGAAACATATAGTCAATAGTAACTGTCTTAAATCATTATATTTATTAACTTGGTATGTATTTTAAAGTTCATTTAAGAGAAGAGCAATTGGAAATGATTTCTCACAACTATTTTTCATAGTATGAGAAATTTATAACTTTTTTAAGTTTGTATACCTAATCGTAGATAAAGTAAATATACATATTTTATTAGACAAATTATATCGTAGAAAAAGAATATAATTTATTTGAATTTTTAAACAAGTTATATTTGTGTTTAAAGAATGTTCTTGCAGAATGTAGGGACAAAACTATATGAGGTATTAAAATTTTAATTTGACTCGTAAATCTCTATAATTTGAAAACAGTTTTATTTGTACAAAATGCTCCACTTTTAAGTAGTAAAAATGTTGTATACATTTTGAATTAAAATACCCCGTACACCATACATTTTTATATTGCTACTAAAGTGGCCTTTGCGCCAATACTTTGCTTTTGCAAACCGAATGCTGCGTTGACAAGATATTAATGTTTTTTTGAAAAATATGTACGCTTTTACAATATTCAAAAATACATTTAGTTTACGAATTAAAAAAAAATTGGCTGAAGTTAGTTGAGGAGAGAATTACCTGGTCCATATTGTATAATTATTTTAATATTTACAATGTTTATAGCATAAGATTATATTTTCGGAAATTAAATATAAAAACTATCATTTTAAATTAAATATTACTCAATATTTAGAAAGCCTATTCCACAAGCTTTTTTCTATAATTAAATATTGAATTTTTAAATAATTCTTTCTTCTAAATTTGTTGGTGTCAAAAAACAATAATTACAGGTGGTAACAATTAAAAAAAAATGATATACAGATTGGAACAATAGACCAGCAACCTTTGTTACTATATTTTTATTATATTTTATATGCTTTTCTATAATATAAATAATGTATTAGCTTCAATCAATTGAAGTCTTGATGATGATCAACAAATACCAAAACTAGATGCAATCTTGTATTGTGTTTTGACATCAATACATTTTTCTATGAAATCGATTTAAAATTTTTTATTCATTAAATAATTTAAT